TTTAAACTGAGTTCTCGCAAAACTGCCCATTTATTCTGGATTAGATTTTTGATAAAAGATCGGCCAATTTTTTATGCATACAAAAGAAAAGACGTTTTAAAAGTAATAAAAGTATAGAAAATGTAATTTATATTCCTGTCGATACTGCAACATTGATTTTATAGCCACGTTCATAGCCATTGTATTCCAAGAACAACTATTGAATTTAAAGAAAAAATAAAATGCTAAACCGTTTGTGCCCCTATTTACTTTTTGTTCATAGACTACATGTTATCTTATGACTTTTCACACATCGGAAAACATGAATGGTCTCACGATTTTGAAATCTCTTTTTATCTCGTTTAAGGATTAAAATAATCTTTTTTTAAAATTGAATTTCAATTGCTTTTAAATACAATTTAAGGAATGATATGAAAATTTATACGTTTATTGAATGACTAGAGCGCTTTTTTCAATGTTTCTTGTAGCAATTGCAAGCTACAGACTGTTGTGCTATGTACAACAGCTTCAATCACATTTTCACACAATCAAAGATTCCAGGGATAAGTGATTTAATCGATTGTTGAGAGCAAAGTGTAAAAATGGAGTTTAAGGAACTAATTTCGGATCAATGAATTAAAGATATGTTGCACAAATAGTGCTGTAGAACTTGACCTGAATATTCAAATTTTCCAACGGCCGTTCACGTATTAAAAGGTTAAGCATGGAGAGGGCCCAGCCTTTTTAGCTGGGGACACTGCGATTCAAATTAGAACATAATCTTTTGTACCACTCCCTTTAGATCTACAGTTTATAGTGGAACCCGAACCATTTGCAACCTCTGCACATTGCAGAGACACGTCTACGTCTATAGACCTGATATCCCCTGCAATGAGCCTAGTCACAATTCGAGTGCTCAAGATGCTGTAATTAAATCATATAGATGCTAGTATATCCTAGTATACCTTGCAAAGGAGACACGTTATGTGCCAAATTCACTTATTACTTAACTCAAAAAAATGGTTTTTATACCTCCCTTCTCCCGTTTATCAAAAATCTTCTTTGTATCTTCTGACACAAAATCTCCGACCTATTCTCCTTAAAACGTTAAATAAAATTGAATAGCCCCTTATTATATTCAGCACAAAATTCTGAAGGAAAACAATTAATTTTAAAAGACAATCAGACAGAAATGAACAAAATTCCCATAACATAATTAATTTGAGCTCAGAAGTAATCTTGAATTAATAGGAAAATAATGATATTTCCCTAGCTTATTAAAAATAGAATATGAATTAAATTATTCATCTTTAAGAAAAAATAAATGTCATCCTAATATGCCGAGATTTACATATGTTTTACAAGACATTTGAATGTCGAATGTCAAATGGTGATATACTGCTTTGAATTTTATAATCATGCTGATTTTAAAGGTGCATAGAATAATGCTTAACTGTAGTGTGAACATAGCTATAAAATTCCCTTGCATCTCCCTTTAAATATCTTATTAAGAGATATTTTTTGTGAATATAGCAGGGGGTTATGCTTTAATTTAATTCAAGTATCATCGCTCGGTAATATGAATAAACATTTTAAAATTTATTATCTGCTTTTTTTGCTCACTCTTTTATCTATTCTCTATTATATATTCATTCAGGGTCGAAAAGTCAGATAAAGTCAGACACAATTAATGCACAGGAAAGGTAATAATAGGAAATGAAATAGTTTAATGTCTTCATTTGCGTGATTTATTGTGTGAAATGGCAGAATTAGGTGATGAAAAATTTAAATTTATATTTTTTCATTTAATGCACATGCGAAATCAAAATTGAACATTTGCGTTTACACTAGAAAATTGCAAATGATGTTCAATTTATGCTAATAGCAATGAATATAAAAATTTTAAAATTATTAAGTCTTCATTTACTACTGTCACCCCCTGCTGATATTGTATATGTTAGCAAATGTATTGTGTTACTGTAAATTTTCGTTTAATTGAATATGTAACCGAAAATCATACAAATATTTTCATATTATATGTTCATTAATGTCTGATAATCACTGTCATGCTGATTTTGATTTACACTTCTTTAAAACTTCGTTTCGTCTCTGAGTTTGCAAAAATGAAAATCCTTAATCTCGTACACACGTAATAAATTTATATGCGATATTTATCTTAATTTTGAAACTTTGCAAAAAAAAATCTTTAACAATGCGAGAATATGAAATTCTTATGAGCACATAAATTTTGATTTTTATCCAAAAGCATAAAACATTCCACTTTTTTCTCGTATGTTCTCTGGTGCTGAGTTTTCATTTCACCACCAATATAACTTAAATACATAGCACCCAAAAAAAAAAAGAAGTGATAACGAAGTAATGTTATATCCTATTTTAAAAGATATATATTAAGGGACACAAAAAAAATCACAATACAATTTTTTTTTGGTTCATTCTCTTTTTTGGATACACAATATATTCTTTTTGCCCTGATATAAAATTGTACTATCTTCACGCCCTTTTTCCTTTTTCGCATCCGAGAACATCCTATCCGAGAGCATCATATAGCACACAGAAAAAAAATATATATCTGCACATGTATACAAAAAAAAAACTGGTATAATCTTTTACCATTGGGAAGGCACACACCAAACAATATTATCACTGATATGATATACCAATTCTCTGTTGAGAGATATTACTTATGCTTATGCTTATTTGTTGAGCTCATGATAGTCGTACTGTATATGAGGAACATTGTTGGCTCCTCTGTATCCATCCAGCACTTTGTATGTTTACTATGAAAACTCACGCAAACATATATCCAACATATAGCTCTTCCTGCAGCATCCTTGTGACAATACATTTATATTTTTGCCGCGCCCTAAGCTCCTCCCAGTTTTTTTTCTCTTCTCTTCACTTTATATGAAGAAAAAAAAAATATTTATCCCTGATGCTCTTCAGTACAAATACATTTATCGTATTCTATGTTTCATTTCATTCTTTCTGTATGATAGTTAATTGAATGCAAGAGAAAAATCTATGTTTTTTTTGTGCTATGCTTCTTTAAAATCTGCTTTATATTTTTTTTTCTCTTCTCTTCCTTTTTTTGGTATAAAGCAGATGAGATTTTACTGCTAAGGGTAGGGGTAGATATACATATAACATATTTTTGCCCCTCAATGTGTGCCTTCTTTTTCTCTTTTCGCTTGACAATGGGAATCAAAACAATTTTTAGTTTGTAAAAATCCTGCAGACAGACAACAGATATTTTGGCTTTATTCATTCATGCACGACTTACATAGTGACTGTGCGAACTGTGATTAAATTTAACTAAACTACCTACGTCTTTTTTGCGAATTTACATTTGAACTTAGTGAAAATAAAATAAAATAAAATAAAAAAAAATAATGAAATGGATTTTCGTGTGTGATGTAATTAAGGCTATAATTAGTGGAATATTGTAATACATAAGAAATGAAATGAAATGAAATAAGCAAAGAGCAACAATATATTTATGGGAATATCTGATGTGAAAATTAGTCAAAATAAATGAGAGAAAATAAAATAAAATAATATAAAAATAAGAAAACGTTCTTCACGAAATGGAAATGATAAATCTTGAAATTGTAAATTGATAAGAACGAAACGTGTTTATATAAATACATATATCTTTATGCCAAAGATTAATCATAATAAATAAATTAAGGTAGAATTAGTGACCTTAAGTGAAATATTATACATTCAAATATCGTGTGTATCAAGACGAAATACCAAATAGCAAAAAGGTGATGATGAATAAGTCATTATGCAACTGAATAAAAAAAGTTAAAAGTCAATAAATTAAAAAATAGGAGAGAAAGTGAAAAGGAACAAGAACAATATTCAAAACTACAAATATATATATTCATCCAAATTATGTTTGATTACGGATTAATGATGCCAGGTAAAAAATGAGTGAGATGATGAATATTTATATTTCGTTATGTTAAAAAGGGTCTTGTGCAATTGAAATTTAAGCATCAATTTAAATATAATCATGCATGTAAAAGAGTGTGCGGAAGCAATGTTCTTAAAGGAGATTCGGCAAAACTGTTTCTTTTAATAGGAATAAAAAAAAAATCTTTTAATTCATCATTCATTCAAGAAAAGAAAAACGAAAGGGTGAAATATTAGTTCCGTTCTCGACTTAGTTCACTATGAATAAAAGGACTTTGTAATCAAATTAATTTATTAATAAATTCAGTGTAAATCTTGGAGCGTGCGATTTTTATTTCTTTGTTGGTATTAACATCAATGGTTACATTCAAGTGATTAAAATTTGTTGTGACACTTGAACCTCTAAGACTATTCATTTATTCTCAAGATAAAATTTTTGTTAACGAATGGAATATTTTATTGTGGCCTGTTTAAAGGAACCAATAAATAAATGAATAAAACTTCAAAATTTTATGGCATTTCCTTTTATTAGTTTATAAATAAGTTCTCCAATTACTTTAGGAAATGTTTAAAGAAAAGGAATAAATACTTTTATGGTACATACTTTTGAAAGACAAGTTCCGATAATGATTGTGAAACGTAGATAATTTTTTATCATCCTCCATAAAAACATACCAAATCTTTGAAAAAATCAAGTAAATTATCTTTTTAGTACCTGCCACTGTAAACAAAAGCAGTAAATGAAATTGAGATTTTTTGTGGTATTCGGTTAGTGCTAATATCTCTGGGATTTATGAATTGAATGATCTCTTAAATGCTTATATTTTCAAATCATTATTGTCTCTGTTTTGTTCTCATTGAGATATTATCTTATCTTCTCTTTTTAAAACTAAGGCATTTAAAACTATATTTATCTTGTGTTATTTTAAAACATTTAATACTATTAACACATTACTCTTCTTTATATATACATACCCAATTTATGCAAATTTTTCTCTCAAAATATTTCTAATGATAAACCTAGTTTATGCAAATAATATGAGTGATTTTTAATAAAAGATTTTTTTTTTGTGTACTTATAGGAAGCAGTGGAGAAGAATCTGATTCATCTCGAGAAATTCCATCAAATTTGGACATTTCTCGTGCACTACAAGTTATTCCTTTAAGTCCAAATAGTGATTTTTATTGTAGCCGAGATAACAGTGATAAGAGAGTAAGCACTCAAGATTATTTATTACTTATGGAGTATTAATGTCTTTTTTTTCTCGTTATTCATTACTTTAGCTCACCAGTGAATATTTAATTGAAGAAATGTCTAGATTTTTACATGATCAGACGAAGAGTTTAGACATACGCAACGGTGCTGTATTTTCAAAAGCAAAAATCAATAAAGGAACAAAGTTTGGTCCATTTATAGCAAAGTTTACAGACCAACCACTTGATCGACGGTTTGCTTGGGAGGTGAGTCGACAAATTTTTGCCATTTTAATATTACGAAGTGCATAAATAAACCCGACATAAGCCAGCGTGTGTCCTCTATGATAAATTAACATTTCTTTTCACTCCTTTTATTTTAAATGTGCCTGCTTGACAGCAGCCGAACTATTGTAGTAATTAGACTTTTATTACGAGATCATTATGTGCTCACAAAAACAATTTAGCACATCCATCATTTCTATTCTTTTGAATTGATATGACAATTTTTCAATAAATTCATTCCAACATCATCATCGTAAATAAACGTGTCTCACAGAATGCACAATTGCCTTTTGTTCACTTTTTGACATAGATCAAAATCTCTTTCAAAGTAAAAATCATCCACCATAACTAATAAAAACGTGATGATTGTTCAGAAATTGAGAAAACGTTGTCGCAACATATACTGTGTAGAAATGGAAAAATGTTGTTGCTGTTTTTCACGCAATATGCTTGGAATCCTATGAACATTATAGTATGAAAAAATCGTGCTGAGGGTGGAATTTCAAACCACGTAAATTTGTGTCGATTTACTGAGCATTTTCACTTGCCTTTTGAGTTCTTGCTTAATGGTCTCATTTTTTTTTGTGTGTGGTTACTGAAATGAACGAAAAGTGAGAAAGAAAATGGTTAGTGTAGTCTGTTTCTTTATATAGTTGCATAGCTGTCATAATCCTATAGGATTTGCTTTGCTTTATCTTTTTTGCAAACTAAAAAAATGCAATTTGGCTTTGCAATAATCTGGTTTTACTCTAAACTACACTACTAGTTGTTAATAGATAAAGTAAATACAGTTTTGGCATTATTGTCATGCAATTTAATTTTTGCGCCAAATGAACATGATTCCTTTAACATCTTGTCACACATGAAATGAAGCTGCAAATGAACATATCAATTTTGCGAAATCTTTCCAACGGATAGTTGAGAAGAAAGAGTGAGAAAGTGAAATCCAGGAAGCAGAAAAATTATTTTCAATAATTGATAATCCTTTAACAATGAGATCAACTGACTAGACAGATTTCTTTACATTTTTATTTTTTTGTGAATACGGAGGATGAATGGGGATGACAGAAATGTATCAATGAGAGAAAGTTGATTAAATTTCACACACATTTGACGTTAAGATACTTAAATTTAGAATTTTTTCCTCTCATTCTCTTTAAAAAGATTAAGCTTCAGATAATATTGAGGTGTGATGATATGATTTGGAAAATTTGCAAAAAAAAACTTCCAAAATTTTTATTTCTCTGCTATAAAAGATAAAAGTCAGCGTTGCAAAAAAGACCCTTTTCTCATTTAATCAACCAGTGTAAGTTAAGGCTTAGAAAAATAATATAAATTACCCCTATACTTTACTATCTACTGTATATCTCTTTTCCATATATACATACATAAAAACGTATTTTTGAGGGATTCAAAATCATATTGCGTGTACCTAACTGAATAATCACTCATGCCAAATGTTTCAATATTCAATTAATATCGGAGTGATTATGACATCTCAATTTTCTCTTTATTTTGCTCATTCAAAGAGGAATAGAAAATAATATTTTTGGTGAACACAACATCACACTTTGTCTTTATCCATGTTTAAAAAGCCAGGTAGCTCAAATTTTTAGTAAGTAAATATATTAATATATCATAGAGTGCAAATAAGCCAGTAAAAGTTTCAATTTTCTTCTTAAAAGAAGAATGAACGAAGTGTCTTTAAGTAGGAAATATATTAATTATACATAATAGAAGCGCATTTGATGTTATTAAATATTTGTCATTGGCTTAATTTTCAAATAAATTTGGCATAGAGATATATTAAGATGGGAATAACCAGGTTCAATAACAATATTCTGAGAGAGATGATTTTCACAAAATTTGAGCACTTAGACGTTATAAAGTTTTGTCAAAATATGTTTCTGAATTTTTCCAAAATTAAAATCCTTCTTTTCTTACATCAATGTTGATTATAAATGAATCTGTGAATTAAGAAATCCCTAATCAGGACAAACTGAACAGAATTATTCGCAAGCCATTCCAAACTAAGCGCTAACAAATTTGAGTGTAGTAGCACTCAATTGAGCTTGAACCCTTGTAAGTAAATAGTTCCCAGGTGTAAATAAACCATAGATAATTTCTCTCATATATGATGTATATTTGATTGACATCAAAGAGTGAAAAAGGCTATGAATGTTTATGAAGACGAACGAAAGGGGTTGCTGAAAATCTTCCTTAATTTTTTTTTAAAGAACAAGATGCAATCAGAGACACAAAAGAAATTTAATTGAAGTAAGAGAAGACAAAAATCTGTGAAAAGGATTTAAAAGAAAAAAAAATATATATTTCTTGACATTACCTGGTCAATTTGCGTTCATTAACTGTCGGGTCTTTTGTGGGATTCATTAGGATTTACAAGAGATTTCGACACTTAGTGACTATTCTGTTGGATTTAAAATTGAAAGACGATTTAATCAATTTTCTATTAAATCATTTATCTTATTTAATTGAATCGTTTTCATTCAATATTTGTTGAGCAAGATTGTCTGTTAAGGGACATGTGATAAAATGAAGATTGATGACATCCAATTCATGGACAATTCGATTCAAGTTGGGAATAAGGGAAAGTATTGAATAACAATTAAAGACGGAAAATTTTGACATGAGCGGAAATCAAACACAAATGGAGGAGTTGATGATGAATTTTTGCTTCCATTATTCTGTCACATGACATCTTCATAGATATATTTTACTTCGTCTTGCTTCTGTGAAATATCTGTAATGTGTGAATCAAACAATTGAAAAGGAAATGAAAGAATGGAAAAAAGAAATTGAAAATCATCAAGAAATTCATCTTTAATCTCTTTCCTATGTAATACTAAACTACCTGGACATAGTGATCATATGCTTCGTTATATTCCGCTTTGTCAAATCATAAATTCAATTGGAATTATGTATAAAGCCCACAGCATGAAATGAGATTTATTGTTTATACTAGTTTTGCGTGAATAACAAAATTTTCGTGACTGAGACAAGAAATCGGTCGAAAAAATAAATTTACGATCTTCTTGATAGACATGCTGAACGAAGAATATATTTTTTATCAATTTTTAACTATCTAAATTGTGATTTATATACAAAAATATGATTTTTATGATTGACATGATCAAAAAAGAAGAAGTAAGAAATCCTTTTATTTGGAAATTTTCTTTCGGATTGTACAAAAATGTAGAAAAATAAAGAAGACAATGAGACTGAACCTATTAAAAATATTTCTAAGATTTCTCTTTTTCTTTTCAATGGACATGCACATAAAACATCAAAAGAAATGCGTAATCTCGTCACATGACAATTTACCACGTATCACTATTGTGTATCAATAGATTGTGAATCTCATATACTTTTACATTTTTATGTCTTCTTTATTTGCTGTCACCCGTAAAATATTTAAGGATATCTGAAATTGACACGTTTGTTATCCTCTTGCTTATTTTGTAAATTCTTTTGAACACGGTAGTATTGTCTTCTGTGCATGTTCATAAAAATGTTGAAGGACACATAAAATGCAGTACATTGATTAAATGTTACTTCTTAACAACTATGTGACTGCATACTTTTAAAGAAGGAAGGGGATGGACATTCGATTATAATAATAGCTATAAGTAGGAATTTTATTCAGCAATGCTAAATATTTTTATATTCAAAAGTACATACATGACAATTCCAATAGGGTCAAATATAAAGAAATTTTTTCTTTTCTTCTTAATTATCACCTTTTCCTTAAAGACAACTTCCTTTAATAGTATTTAAAGTTATTTATGGTATTTTAATGTAGTCCACTTTAGGAGGGGTCAATTTTTATTATTTTCACTATTAAAAATATATGCGAAAATTTTGTACAAAATAATATCTAATTTCAAATAATAATATTTTTTCATGGGAATCAAAAAGTTAAACCGAAAATAGATTGCAATCATTAAAGAGTTAAGAGAGAAATTTCCCACAATATATTCCATTTCAAGTGGACGTAGCTCGAGATTTTTTTTTACAATAATTTTTTTTTCAATTCACTTTCATTGAGTACAATAAACAATTATGCAAATTGTAAGTTCCTCAAAGAGGCATTTTATGAGGAAAAAAATAACTTTTGACATTTTTGATTGACAGATGTGGTTTATTTGTAGAATATAGAAGGCTTTTCTATTTTGAATAGAGTCATTCGATGATGCTTCTTCTATCGAATTTTTATAAAATCTACCCAAAGAAAATTGAACAATAATTACACGAAAGTGAAGTCAAGTCAATAAATAAAATTGCCGTTAAACTCTCTGTTCAATTGGAAATTGTACAACCCCTATGCATATTATTTTGTTTTTCCAACAATTTAACATGTATTTGGTAATACTTGAGCTTCTTTTTTTCTAAATTCTATTGGAATTAAATTTAAATGAGATTGATTTTACATGCAAAAATGTTTGGTTTACTGACTGTAAAACCACTCAAACAATAATGATTTTAAAAAATTCTTACTCCCATTGATTACAGTAAATGATTTGATAAAAAAGTCAAACACTGAGGGTGAATCATGAGTGGGATATAGAAAATGCAATGCTGCTCATTTAGTGGAGAGAAAAAAATAAATAATTTGAGAGTTTTGAGCGATATTCTCAAGTTGCAAAACGTTTAGCTACTTAAAAAAACCACAGAAACCCTCACCAACTTATAAATTAGTCATCTGGAAAATTTCGGAAATTATTAATCCTATTTTTGCACAAATATGATTTTTTAAAGATTTTATGTCACAAGTTTGTATTATCCAGTAGACTTTTAAGATAAGATTATGAGTAATTCTCGATGGTATTATAAAATCTTTATCTCTATCATGACAGAAGCAAAAACAAAAATGTCATGTGTAATTTATTGTATCCCATAAATTTGTGTAAAATGTGTTTGTTATTAATAACTCTTGGTCAAATGAAATTAATTTTTAACAAATGTCTCTCGAATAGCCCTCTACTAATTGAAATCAGTATGGAATGCATTAAACATAAATTTTGTCACGCTTCTGTTAAGATTTAAAATGAGATTAAAACTCCATTGAATGAGAGGAACAAAAAGTCTTCCTGGTGATAATTTATTTCATAATTTTTAAAAAGAGCTCTTAATTAAAAAAAATTTTTCTCAGCACAGATTGTAGGGGTTAGAATTTTAATGTCAGATAAATTTTTTTGATTAGAACAAAAGTTAAGAATGATCATTTCACAAAAATGTCAAAATGAGTAGCTCATACTGTTAGCGATAACAATAAAATTCACATGATTTGACAAAACAATGCTTCAGCATCAAAATAACAGAGCAGCATCCGAAAAAAAATTATGCGTCATGCTGATTTTATATAGTTTTAAAGTGTGATTTTAGCTCATAATTAAAAATTTCATTTAAGAACTCAACAGTTGTGTCGAAGATTTAAAATTTTGAGTTCATTATCAGAAAATCTGTTACCTTTGAAACTTTGTCAATTGTCAAAAATTTCTCAATTCTTAATTCTTATGTAATGCCTATCTGGTTATAATTGAGTAACTAAATACTTTATTAGTCGGAAAATTGAATTTCCTCTTTTGAAATTATCACAAGCATGCTACCAGTGTTAAGGAAATATAATCATTTTGACCTCGAGCAGATGATACAGCCATTCATTCATGCATATAAAATCAAATATTTCCTTATTTACCCTTCACGCTTTGTCGTTATGTTGATTGGTAAATTATTTGACGGGTGTAATTAGTTCAATTTTCTTCTTCAAGGGGAATTTATTATCTTCTTGTTTACAAGAAAAATTTTGTTAAAGACTTTTTCGTTTGTAAGTCGAGAGAACTCGAAAGAGAAAGAAAAAAAAAGTCATTAAGAAAAACAGCAAATCTCATAAATTTTGCTGTCATTTGCAGACAACACGGGAATTATAATTTTTCCTTCTTTTTTCCTATAGATTTATGATTTATCATTTCAAAATCTATAAAGATTAAATGAAGAATAAATAAAAAGTGCACAAATATTGTAAAATCACTAAGTGGAAAAAAATGTTTTATGTATCGCATTAAGTCAAGTTATGCGCAACGAAGCGTCTTTGTAACATCTGTTTGAAAGTGGTCAGAAATTATCAATTCGTTTCCTTTAACATAGAAGTCCCTTGCTTAAAAAGGGCTCATAAAATTATTTTATTAGGATTGTTAACGGATGGTTACTTACCTTGTGGTGCCATACTGTCTTGTATGTTATACAGCAGGATATCAAGATACAGGGGCGTAGCCAGAAAATTTTAAAGGGGGGGGCCCATTTCCGAAAATTAAAAAACCGTTATTTTGTATCCTTAAATCTACATTCATTCTTCATAAGTTTAAATATTTAATTCATTATTCATAGATTAAATTTAATTTTTCGTGCTGATTTTGACATTTCTTTCATCACTTCCTCTACATTAACTGGTTCTTCTCTATAAATACTTAATAAAACAATCATCAGATTTTCGTAGGGGGGGGCCCGGGCCCCCTATGGCCCCCCCCTGGCTACGCCCCTGTCAAGATACCTTTGAGAATGTGCAAAATCTTGTAAAATCGTTATAAGATCTTAATCCTCACACTATAGGAGCTTCAATGTGTCACAATTTTGTTGTCTCTTCTTAGATTTCTTGTAGGTTCAATAAAAGAATTAGAAACATGATCAATTGTACGATGTGATGTACAATAACGTTGTAAGAAGGATAAGGACATACACCCGATTGAAAGATTACAAAGAAACAGTTTGTTTTCTCATTTGCTGCAATTTTCAACATTAAGCACGTCTAAAGATTCAGATGAATTTTCATTGTTTGTGTTTTTTAACACAGTTAATCTCTTCACACTTTCAGTCAAGTCTTGATACAATAAAAATTCACTCGAAGAAGCTTAAAACGTGATCTGGTTTATAAATAATCTCTAATTCATTCTAAATATGAATTTATTTTTATTGCCAAAGAAGAATCATAATTTTAAATTATCAACAAACATATTTCATTAATGTCTATTATTGGAATCATTTAAATCTTTCGCACCCTCACTGCATCATCTTTTATTATTGTGCGAATTAACAGAAAAATTCACACATAATTTCACATCACCGAATTGAACATATTTTTGCAATCATTGTAAATTTAACAGATTACATATATATTACAAAACGAGAAGGAGAGTCGTGTGTATTCGTATATTACATACATTTAATGCCTTTATTACAGTGCACAATTTCGATTCCAACGTTCGCTCACATAAAATGTTATTTTTTTTTTTTTGGGAAGGAAAGCGATGAAAATTGGTTGTTTGGGAAATTGATAATTAAATGCTGAGAAATAAAACGGAGGGTGTGGTAGAGACTATATTCAAAGTATAAATAAAGAAAGGAAGAAAGAAAGGAAACCATCATAATTGTGAATGTGTGTAGAAATGAAAATTCTATTTTCACTCCTTAAGCTATTTTCCCAGTCAATTTTTGTTTCCTCATCTCTTTTGTATTCTCCAGATAAGTGAAATAATGGAGGGTGGATAGAAATCATATTGTTACATCATATTTATGTATGAAGAGAAATAATAACAAATTTATGTTTATTTTATTACGGTGATCATTTTTCTTCAAGTTGTGTTATTACTTACTACTTAATGCTGCTTTTGAAGAGGGTTTACAAGAAGGGTCAAGTGAGTGTGTCTTTGACTTACCGATATGTCATGTTTTATATGATAAATTGTTCTGATTTCTTGTAATACATTTATTGCACTTACTTGCGATTTTTCTTTTCAATAAATGATATCCAGATGGGATTAAATAATTTTTATTGTTATGGATGCTATAAATTTTGTTATCAAATGTGAAAAATGGACGGAAGCTGCAGTTTATTGATTTCTATACTAAATTAGAGCTCTTTATTGCAAAAATGAAATAAAATTGTCAAAACATTATGTCCAAATATAGAAATGAAACTGATAAGCTAATGAGGTATGTGACGAACAAGCTGGCACATTTAAATGAAAAATAATAAGCAATATGAGTCAAAAAACAAAGCAAGTTACGAAATTAAATTAAAATATATTGGAAGCAACGCAAAATATCCCCATCAATTTTGTCGAATTCATAGTAGGAGGAGTCTTTTATTGCGTATATGGACAAACTGTATTGTTGTCTAAAGACTCTCTCCTTCATGAGCTAAACTCGTCTAAAAAAGAGGGGAAATAATCGTATAAAAAAGAGATCTCGTACAATAAGTGTACTAGATTTCTGAAATAATTTTAAATTTTTACTGACGGTTATGAAATTTTATATAATTGCAGATAGTTGCATCTCCTAGTCTAAAAGGATGGTATGATGCTTCATCAGAAACGTCTAATTGGATGAAACATATTAGAAGTTCAGATGAGAAGAATGATGTTAATATCCAACATATATTTATTAATGGTCAAGTGAGTTCACATAAATTCAATTATTTTAACTTTAATATTTATTGAACAATTAATTTTCTTTCCAATTACAATGAAGATTTGGTATGAGGTGATATGTGATATTTCACAAGATACAGAGCTACTCTTAGGACCAAAAGTTCCTCTATTAATTAGTGATATGCAACGAGATGCTGATGATCGATCCGGATCAGGTAAGTTCTGCATAAAATTTAAGCCTTTGAGATCTTCTTATATTTTTTTGAATGCATTATTCTAAAACGGTTGAGATTGTTTCACATGATATAATCATGTCACCCTTATGAATAACCGAAAAATATTAATATTTATTATGATACGTCATATTATGAGAACGTGGATATTTAGAAATACAGACATTTAATTCATAACAATAGAACTTACTCCGACAGATGAAATAAATGGTTAATCCCTCATGTACAGATTTTTAGTAAAGTCAAGTCTATTGTAATAATGAAGTTGGTTTTATGATAACAAATGATCAGTTTTAATTTTTGCATTTTAAAAGCTATTGGATCTGATACGATACATAGTTAGTCATTATACTACGCAGGGAATTAAGATATCTCAGTGAGAAAGCCATGCAGACAGACAGATGCTCATTTCTCTTATGAACAGAAAACAAATTAAAAGGTCCAATCGACAAGAAATATAAAAACTTAAATACAATTTCGATAATCATCAAGCATAAATTGCTCGCTGTTTGTTTAGTTCATGCTCATTAATATAGCGCACAGAGTGTCGAGAACAGATTAACGACGCGATATGATTGAGAGGGAAAAAATGTTTGTTTATGCAAAGTTGTTGTTGTTATTTCATTTCATTATCTGATAAATATTCTCTCTTCTTTCTTCATTATTATTATTTTTTTGTTAAGCCACTCGAAAATAAAGGAAGGCAATTATAACTTCGATGGATTAAATGAAGTGTGGTTGAATACTTTTTTTTCCTCTGAGATAGAGAGAGCATTGCTGGAAACATAATTAAGTTATACAGTTCACGCGCCTTATCTATAATGAAAATTTATGAATTTCATTTTTAAATTTTTTTGATGTTTTTTTTTTCTTTATTTAAAAATTAAACAAGTAAAAATGAATAAAGAGATTTAAGATGATCCGCGTAAATCAGTTGTTTGTTAATCTGACATTCGTTCTGTCACGATTTTTGTGTAGTTTATAAATGAAGAGAGAAAAAAAAGCTAAACAAGCTGCATGTTGGTGACATTGATACATTATAAATACTTTCACCCATTTTTTTACAATGCAATGACGATGAGAGGGAGAAAGACATAGACATGAAGGATTCATTTAACAACTAAATTAGGGTTTGATGATGATTTTATTAAATGCGGACAATGAGCATCAACACGTTGCTACCCTATTGTTTGCATTAATGTGATAAATTGAGCAAATATGAGGGATGACTTTTTTTGTTTGCATCATTTTTTCGGGTGCATGCTGCAACTGAAACCACTTTCATACATGATGCGTGTGATTGCAGCATTTCTATTGTTATATATCCTACATAATAATATCTGCTATGTCATTGTGTGTTCTGTGATGTTAATCTAATCATCAATTTAATGAAATGGAATAAATAGTGGTTGACTAATGATTTTTTTGTCAATTTTTCACATTCGACAAAAAAATTGTTTTGGGATTCAAACAATTTTTTTTTATCAGTTATGTTGCAGTCTAATTGAGCGTATCGTAAAAAACTATTTTTTTTTTGGAAGTCACAGAAAAGTGCATAAAATTGACAATATCCACGCGTTCCTTTTATGATCCCTAAATGTTTTTTACGATGTCATTTTTTATGAACGATATATTAGCTATAAGGATATAAGAGAAATGAAGCAGTAAAATAAATTAATTTGTTACAAGAATTATCTGCAAAATTGATGGTGAGGCACTATAGAAAGCAAATAATGTAATGTGAAAAGAAAAAGTATTTCCACTTTTCCCTTCCTTATAATCAGGGCATTTTATCACTAAAGTCATATCTTTCCCACGCACTTTTAATTGTTGCGTGATAACTGATAAATTGAATTGACTCTTTTTCCATTGTATTTACTTGATTATCAACAATGGACAGTAACAACAATAAACGAACATAAGTAGTGAAAAATATGGAAAAAGAAAAGAGATATGAAAAGTTGGCACGTGTTAAATAACGGCAAAATCTACATGAAATTGAAAAGTATACAATAAATAAATTTTTGAGAATCAAAGAATAGTCATACAATATGAAAAGAAATGCATTGCATGCATGAGGGTACATTCGACAAAAAAATAAATGATAAATGCTTACCATGCACACACATTATTTGAATTCACATAAAAATCAATAGTTGCAACATGAAATTACCCAATCATATGTGTAAATCTGACCGTGTCATTGTTTGCATTGAAACATACAGTGATTGTTCATGTTTAAATATATTTATACATTAATATTGTATGTATGTCGCCTCGTCAAAATTATCGCATCATGCTACCTAAGCAGTCAATTTCACTTTACATTATTATGCTCCAATTTTATGCGAAAACGCATATAATTTATGACATTGAAATATGCACACAATTATGTGAATGAGAAAAGAATCAAAAATAAAACATTGTATTTTTATTTTTTCAGTTAAAAACGGTCGAAAAAAAAAACTGTGGCAGGTGCGCAATACTTAACCTTTTCACGTAAAATTAACAAAGCATATTGTCAAAAAAATGTACTACAAAATAGATAGTTGACTGCATAAGTTGGGTTAAAAATGTTAAAATAAAATTAAGGAAAAGATTGTGATTGACCTGGAATATTTCATTGCATTTAAAACGACGTGCATAAGCAAAGGGAAACTTCATTGCACGCAATTGTTGATTTTATGGAATGATAAAATGAAAATTGAGTGTATTTTATAGTAAAAATCCGTTGAAAAGTTGCATGCCTTTATTTATTTTTTATTATAGAAATCACATTGGCTCTTCAATTAGCTTATAATGCTACCTTCCCTGACTCTCCACACTTGCACTCGTCAAATTTATCGTAAAGCGCATCATGTCATGGAAAATTTACATTTGACTTTATCCTTTTCAAGCACAAAGTAAGCATTATATTGACGTTTTGAATAAATGCGATTATGACAAGGTGGGCTTACTTTTACTTTTTGAATTTCCAAAAAATTGACAATGAATATAGCGATTCAATAATTAAGTTAAAAATGATTTCTTTTAAAAGTTACATCCTCCAAGAAAGTCAAAGATAAACAACTTTACATGCTATGATAAATTTATTTGCTGAACTTTCAATTTGCAAGTTGAAATTGCTATTAATAATATTCATTTTTCGTGATCTTTCCACTGATATTGAATATTTTCAATCATATTTCAATCAATGTCGGATTTAAAAGAAGATATCAAAAAATTCATGATACATTTTCGGTTGGTAAAGCATGATCATACTTAAGAGAAAATAAATCGTAAAGTTGATAAAAAAAAAAAAGCTTGAGGAAAAATTTTACACGTTATTGTATAAACCTTTTGCAATGGATTGAAAGAAACTTTATAGAAGTCGTTACGGATGGTGAAGCTTATGGTCAAATGATTAACTCTCCATCTGTTGCTTGTATTTCGAAAAAAGAAGAATTTCATAAGTCACAATTTTAAATTCAATTAGATTTTCTTCATTCATTTGTCCCATATGACGCTTATTTTCTGTTTTAAAATGTTACGATTGAGTAAATTTTCTCATGCCAGTTCTTTGTAAATTTTTCGTGCATAAGAAATTTTGACCATAATGTTCCTTAAAAAATACAATATAAATGTAAATTTTTATGTCCCATAAGGTGCTCAATTCTTTATATCTATTGCAATATGACGTTTTTAAAAAGAAAACTTTCTCGTGGGAAAATAAGCTGCTCCTTAAAATATGCTGACTATTTAATGGAATTAATTATTAATCAGACACATCAAGAATGAAATGAAATTATAACAAAATTGTAATTGAAATCAATCATTTTACGTTAGGTGCGATTTGTCATATTGAAATGAAAATCGAAATCAAAATTAACACATTAAATGTCAATTAGTTGGCTTTCAATAGAAATAGAATTTTGTAAAATACAGTTGAATTGCTTACACGATCCTCGACATTATCATAAAATCATAATGCTTTTTTTTTGTTGTAATAAAATGTCAAATCAACTGGAATATGGAGAAAAAAAGAAATAAAACAAATAACTTTGCTGAATTGTACAATTAACGCTATGTTTGAGGCTTTCAATTTCATATGACTTTTATTTAATATGTATTGTGGATTTATGAACATCGGATAGTTTCGTGTTTCTGTATTATCAGTTATTTATGACCTATAGCTCTTTTTTTCTTTCACCTGTACAATTGTCATGAAATAAATGTGTGCATGAAAAATAAATGTGTGCATGAGGGGTTAATTCGTGCTTTATGATTACCTTACAATGTGAAAAGAACAGGATCTTCACATGTTTGACCATATAGAACAATATAGAATGTACATTTCTACCCCTTCGCGTTGTTCGTCCTTCCACATATATTCTATTTATTCGAAGCTCAATTGAATTACTGTTTCAAGTGCTTCAAGTGTATCCTCGCCGTACACATGTAAATTTTTTGTTCTATCTTCATGATAGGGATTGTGTATTTGTGGAGGGGATGGCTAGTTTTTTGAATATTTGTTATATATTTTTCATCACACCGACCAAGTCGAATTAAAAGCCATATACCACACATAATTTACAATAATATAAAAATTGTGGACAATTACAATTAAATGAATTTTATTCAATGCGAAGAAATGTTCATTTAGGAAGTTTACGAGGTGCAAGGAAGACGTGACTGAAGATACAAGAAGCTTCATCACATTAAGTTAAAAGTAATAAAAAAGTGAAGATATTTTTTATCCTTTATGAATTTAAAAAAAAAAGTGTTGTGAGTTTTCTGTAACATACAAAATAACAATATTTGTGGCTATAAACTTGTTGCATTATTGCGCTGCATATAAAAATTGAGATTAATTTCTTTTATGCAACCGAATACTTTATAATTGCATCGTTTTTCAAGTTTAATTTTGTAAATCTCAACGAGAAAAAAGAGAAGGTAATTTGTGATAAAATTAATGACTTTAACGCATGTTTTATGATCTTTCCTTTGAATTAAATTCCGACTATTTACTCGCTCAGTTATTTATTTATATTATTAAAATCCCAAAAAAGTAAAGCAGCATATAGTTTGTTGTACATATCGTTTGTAACACTTTCGGTGTCAGATCATGAGGGCAATACAGAAGGTGTTAATTAAATGCTTAAATAGTCACGTTGAATAACAAATTTAAATCCCTTTAATTGAGTGTTATATGCTTACTACTGTTTGCTTAAGAAAATGTATCAAACAGTATTTTACGATGCCTAAAATTAATGATATTTTATTACACCTTCAAATCGGTGGCACCGAAAAAGAAATTCAAAAAAGCTTTTTTATACATAAATGCTGCTGCACAGAGAGTTTACAGCAGCAACTAACAGCTAAGCACGCGTCGTCTTGTCAAACAATGATTAACAGCCCATACAGTATTTTATGCTTTAAATATAAAAAAACAAGTAAAAGAAATAAAAATGCTCTTTTACAAAAAATAATGTAGTAGAGATGAAAGAAAGAAAAGAAAGAAAAAAACAAACAACAAGGCGATTTCTCTTGAAATAAGAAAAGAAAATAAAAACATAGCATAGAAACAATATAATATGATTTTATTCTTCTTTTATTTTCTTGCTTTATATTATTTTATACCTTCTGTTTTTAAGTCGTGCTTACCGCTCGGTTCATAGTACAACAAAGGAGAGAGAAGACTCTTGGTCGAACTCAAAGTTGATTCCGATTATGAGAGATTTTTTTTGGATTAAAATGTACAAATATACATACTTGGGGATCGTTTGGATGTTACGGAATACTAAGGATGGTTAACTTAATTTTTGGGAATGGAACGAATAATTTAAAAATTGTTTTTGAAACTAAACTAAATTAAGAAATTTGTCCCTCAGCATTACGTGATATCCAAATGATTCCTTACATTTTGATCTGTTTTCCGTTTGTATTATACAATGCCATTTAGAAAAATAAAGAGATACAACAATAAACGTATAATGCGCTATAAAGAATTTCAAATTAATGCACCTTGGGATTGAGGTGAAACTTTCCTGTTTAAGAAATAAAAAATCATTAAAGGTATTTATTATTTTGGCTAAATGATCGGCTTTTCAAAAAGAATCAGTTGTAATTATTTAATTCAATTTCGACAAGATGAAAAAATATGATACAAAAAAAAAAAGGTTTAAACTTAATAAGACTTGACCGATGACAAATTTATGAATCGTTTTGAGCTTCCTACAAAAGAATTTTTTCTACCAATTTTGAAATAATTAAAAACAAAAGACTTTTCGCATTGATCGAAATAAGGTCCAAAAAATGCACGAACAATTTTAATTGAAACATTATATGGTGAAAAAGATTTCAAAGTAAGTGAGAAGACTTTCATTTTCATTTTATTTTTTGTCCTGAATAATTTTCGTTAACGAAATCACATGAAGTACCAACAGAAAAAAAAGTCTTTTCACTGCTTACCTTTTATGCCAATGTCGTCGTCGCAATTTCGTAAGACGTTCAGCAATAAAGAAGTGTATGAATGTTGTGGCTTGCGGTAATAAGAGAAATATTTTTAAATAAGAGATAGATGGACGTTAAATGGAATATACAGGGCTATGTAGTACGACTGAGCAGTTTTAATAATGAAAGACAGGCAACAGAATTAAAAATTGATGCTGGAAGCACTTTTTCATCAAGTCTTTGTGCGATTGCGCACAGTCAGCATTCATCAACTGGAAGTTGATTTGAAAGCTAAGAGAAGCAAAAAAAAAATAACAAAATGTTTTAGGTAAAGAAAACCTTACACCTACACGATTAATCGTGCTACATATAACGATTATAAGACTATTAATTAAAATGAATTGCTCCAGCGATAGTCCGCTGCTGATTTCTAACACAGTTCTTATGAAATTTAATTTAAGACAGAAGCAGAAGCGAAATTTCCATGAATCCGATAATAAATACACATGAGATGATAAAATATTGTTTTAATCATCTTAATCGTATCACAGTGCGTGCTCTACAGATCATTAAAGCATTTGTAAATCCAACATGATGCATGGTTTTCAAAAGAAACCAATGGTCTTTATTTTTTTGAATAATGTTCATTGAGCATATTAAAGGAACAATGAATAATCTTTGAAAAAAGATAGCTTCAAGATCATACTGACATTTTTTATTCAAAATGCTTTAAATTAAGTCAAAATAGAAACATTTGAGATGAATAAATTGTGGTTAAGAAAAAGATAACTAAATAAATTTCAATCTAAACTGGTTACATCGCTGATGATAGATAGGTCCAAAAACTAGAAATAATAATAAAAATAAAAAAAAAATTGAACTGTAAGCAAAAAAAATTAATCATGTCATATTTGAATGATTCCTCATAATGAGATTAACGACATTTCTGTGTCTCTTGTTTTTCTTTCGCCTTTTATAAGCCTGTTGATGGTCATTTTCAAAATAAATTCATTCCCTCCCATTCCCTCTTTATATATTTACGTCGCCTTTTGTTTCAATAAAAGTCAATTCACGAATGTTTAAAAATGATCGCATCAAAAAAACAAAAAAAAAATCCTCAAAGCTCTCAATTGAAGATATGAAACGTGTTGTATAGTTATTTTGTTTCATTTCTTCTTTGCTCCATAAGAAGATCTCAATTGTATGATTAATTTTGATTTATATATTCTTCATGGTTTCTTCAACTTATTTTTTTTTTCTATATTATCATCTTCTTCAATTCATTTTTCTTGCTCTCTTTTTCTAGGCTCCCAACATAGTGGCGCGTATGAAGAAGATTTTAATGCTTCATCGAATGATTTAGACAGCAATCAACAGGAATCCACACATGAGAATAATAACGAGTCCATCGAAGACGAAGATGATGTTGATGGTATAGATGCACGTTGTGTCGTGTGTGAACGCCAATGCGGTGATATTGACCAGTGAGTAAAGTAGATCATTTTTTTACAATTACTATTTCTTCTTTAATGTCGATTGTTACGAGCGAAGTGACTTTTAAGAAATTTAAATGTTCCTTTTTAATGAAAGTATCTAATAAGGTATAATTTAAGACAAAAAAGGAAACAAAAATGTGTTCATGTCATTTATAATAAAATGAATATGATTGAAATCACAAATCACTTTGATTTGAAACATTCAATTAATTTTCGATTGATTCATCTACGCACACGTGATGATTATTTCAAATTCACATTGACGATGTCCTATTATGTCCATTTACGAAGGTATCATTAAGTTATTCCAAAAATTACTTTATTCAGTTACCTCACATGAATGTGTGAAACAATAAATTAAATATTAATTTTCATTGTATGTAGTTAGCCATATCGTTAATGTTATATTGCTTGAGTTCTGCTTGCTCATCGCTTTTCAATTTCATAAAGTCATTTACTATGGTATTCCTCTTCACTCTCGTAATATTTGGAGCATGAAAATAATTAGTGGCTTCATTGAACATCCATCATCGACAAAAAAAAAAATGAGGCTACATAAAATCAAAGTATAACGGCGGAAAAAATTGACAAGATCGACAGAAGAAAAATTTATATACATGTGTGGAGACTCATAATATGTAGATATATATTATATTATAGAAATATGAAAAAAAAGTAAATCATTTATCATTTAGGTAGTTGAGGAATGCCAATAACTACTCATTTTTGTAATTATGAACGCCGAGTTTCTATTGTTTGTCAATATTAGTCCTTATATGTTTACAACTCACTACCGAGCTTGGCAAATAAAAAGTAAAATAATTGAAAATTATCATAAGTTGGTGCATTAGTAACAGGCAATAGAATTGAAGAAAATTATTATTGATTTCACGTTTCTCTATTGACGAATATAATTGAGCATTTGTCAAACATGAAAATTCAGTATAAATCTCTTTAATTAGGAGAAAAAAAAATGTTTCATAAATATTTACAGTATAAAAGTAAATAAAATAATATTCGAAAGGGAAATCAATTACCATCAATTGTATTGTTAATTATGTTCACAATATAAATTTTTATGGATAGATGGATGTTTCAAAAAAGGAACATTTTCTTCATCATATATGAAATCTTATGAGAGGAGTGGAGTGATTTTTGCAAAACGAAAAGGAAATTGGAAACTTTACATTTATGCATGCACAAAATAAATAATATAAAATACTGTAAAAGAAAGAGAACAAAATTTGATGCGTATAGAATTGAGGAATGTCAAACTGAGCTTTACATATTATTGACATGAAAGCAAACATGTTTGTAATATCAAATATTAATCCATTGCGCGAGTCACATAGTGAGCGAACTGTGTGTGTGCACATTTAGTATTGAGATTGAAATCATTGATACTGTCTTGACTATGTTATATTGAACGAAAAACGATCAGTAACGGGAGAGTACCAGTTGTTAAAAATGCGAACTAAAACATCTGCATGTGGAGTCCATTGAGTTAAGGAACGAAGGAGAAGAAAAAATATTAAAAAGTGAAATTAAATTGTGCATATAGAGAACACAATATTGCGACAGATTCGATTTCCATTCATGAACCTTTAAACTTCCGCGTTCAGTCTAGAATATGTAAAATAAAAGCAAAGCTATCGTCTCCATTAAGCAGTCAACTTCAGTCATAGGAGCGTGATCACATAATGAATTATAGAAATATGCACAATATGCCCATTCATTTCATTTCGACACCACAATTCTTTCATATTCTCTCCTTCTCACTCACTTTATTTTTATTCATATTTTTTAACGCCAATAATGACTCTTGTTTTTATTGATCTGTAGAAATAGAAATTTACGAGTATTAGGAACTGAATATAATGAAATAAGAAATATTATAATTCTTTTACTTCTCTCCCACTAATAAAAACAACACTAGCAGTCAGAGTTGAAGAGTAGTGCTTTTGATTAGCTAGAACATTTTTATAATTAGGCTCCAATATTGTCATAGGTTTTTAATTTTTTGAAAAACCATCCTCTTGTCAATAAATATTGTTCCAACTCTGTCAGCAATATAGCTGTTTAACACTTTTGCTCTCATTTCCCATTGTTCTCAATCATGTAGTTCTGGCTGCACTGCTATAAATCTAGCAGTATTGTCAATTGATTTCTTACATTTCATTGACATTATTCATCTTTCACTCGCCTATAGAACATAACTTAGTTCGATATTTATTGAAATGTTTCCATCGAATTGAAATGAATTGAAATGAAAAATATTTTAGGGATCTTTCAGTCAATAAGCAGAAATATATATTTCTTTAGTGACTATGTCCACCCACGTTTATCGACATCATTTGTTGAGCGTATAGTTTTACACGATACACATACTTTAAAGTTTGTTTTCGATATTCTCTTCAAGTTATTTTTCACTTTTGTTAGATGTGTCTTTCTCGTCGTGCGCCTCGGCTATTTGGCACGATCTGTGTCATGAAATGAATAAAAAAAAATTCAAATAGCAAGGAAAAGAATTCTCAATCGTTTAGTATAGAAATATAAATATTTAAGTCTATATATTAAGCCATTTCGAACACTTAATCTCCATAATATTATTCGAAAATCATAATAAATCACGGCATAGACAATTGCATGTAATTGTACGATAGCAGAATTTGTGGTGCAATATTTTTTTTTTCTTCTCTCTCGCTTTGCATTTTCTTTGCGATTTACCTTTGCTGTGCTGATTTTTTTTTCGCAATATCATGCATACATTATGCAAATTTCAGTCTGTGTTATAAATTAACGACACACTGGACGCGATGTGTTATGGAAGGTTCAATAGATAGGCAGAAAATACGACTTATATTGCGACATATGCAAATAAATCATCGTTACTTAATAATATTTGCCTGACTCTCTTAGAAAATTGTTTCTGATGTTAGGACAAAAATGGTAAAAATGTGTTTCTAATACAATTTCTTCACTCAACTCTGGGATTTGTCAGCGTGATCACCAAGTGGAAGAATTTCATATTTCGCTTAAAGTAATACAACCTAATAGATGATGATAAATTTATTTTAGTTTAGTTTTTCTTTTTCATACCTTCTACTTACATTTCATGAAGTCATGTGATGTGTGAGAGCACAGAGCAGTTACTTTTCAATTTGCTTTAACGATGAGAAAATCAGAATAAACATGCTAAGAAAAAAGAGCACATACCGTGTTTATAATCTAGATCTCTATTATGCAATGATCAACACGATGAAGAAAAAGAATTTCTTGACTTTATTTTGATTATGTATATCCTTGTATGAAAGCACTTTATGATGCATGTATGCATCAAAAAATAATTATTTTGCCATTAGCTATTTTCTTGTGTTTTCGATTTCAAGAAAGTACAAATTTTTGATATGAATAGATTAGAATGACTTGAATTTTTTTCTTGAATTTACTAATAACCAACTTACTTCTGTTATGAGAAGCTTTAATGATGAAAGAGCACTCGTGTGCAGTTTTTCTTTTTGCCTTGTTGAAAAGATAACAAATTTGCATATTATACTGAGTACATTCTGTTCAAGATTCTTGAATTTATTTATTCATGCTGAATGCAACATTTTCAAACGAGACGAAGATAGAGGAATGAGGGCAAGGGAAGAGTCTTGGCAAAAGCCTCACATGCAAAATGATATCTTTTGGTATTAAAGGAGGGAAATGAAAGGAGGAAAGCGAATTAAATGCACATGAAGAATCGATGAAAAAGAGATATTAATGTTTCATCCTTTTACGAGCTGCAAATTAAATATACATATATGTGATTGCTGAATATTGTACAATGAAGGGAGAAAGAAAAGGCAATGGAAATTTCCTCACGTGTTTTGTACCACAAAACAGTAAAGCAAAAGCTATAAAAAATAAAATCACGTTAAGCTGCGTGTAAAATTGCCATCAAAAAGGCATTTTTTGTATAATTACATTGCTGTTGCAAGTGATTGTTCGGGATTGATTTTTTTTTCGAACAACAAAAAAGAAAGAGAAGAAATGCACGAAATTAAATACCTTTTCGAACATGCATTAAATCGATGTTGTTTGCGGTAGGATGAAATTCACGACTAAAGAGGTATTCAATAAATGTATGATGGAAATTGATTTTTACTTTATTTAAATTTTTTTTAACAAGACCGAACACCTTAATGATCTTTTTATGCAAATATTGATTGTGGAAATTGTAAACATAAATTTAAAGGAAATTAAAAGAGATTACAACTAATTTACTTCACATTTTTATGAAGATATTTTTTGTCTCAGAGGAGGAAATAGATGAAATTAATAAAAGAATGTTTGCTCATGTGTAAACAAATATAATAAACAGAAAAAGACGCAATAATATAATAAATTTATTGTGTACTTAAAGATCAACCAAATTTACTATCGTCGTTAAACATTTTATTCCTCATATTCAGAGCAGAGTAAATATTGCATGAATAAAGGTAAAATCTTACCGGAGATTTCACAAAATGATCCAAAAGACTTAATTGATGTCGATTATACACTTGTTAAGGATCATAAATTTTGGAAAGATAATTGAAAAATTTATTCTCTTTTCCTTAAGGTGATGTGAATAAAATAAAAATAAATATTGCCTGTAAACTTAATTGATGTATGATAAAGCGGGTTTAAAATAAAATTATTGCTGTCCAACTTCCAGTTTCACGAATTATCCTCAGGGTAATCCTCAGTTGGGTAATTTTCAGCTTTTATCCTAGAAATATTTTAAGTCAAACATTTTCACAGCATGATAATTATTGAAGTGTAAAATTATTATTTTCTGACCCAATTAAAAGTATTAAAATCATCATTACATCCCGCACTTATTCTCATTCGGCACTTAAAAGTCTGATCTTAAACTTTCTTTACAAAATTATGACTGCAAACTTCAAAATTAAGCAATTATCTTTCATATCGAATCTTGATCGAAAATATGAAGTGTTAAATGTGTATTCATGACACTGCTGTAATTAAAGGATGTAACAATGAGAAAATTGTTTAATAGTTTAAGTCAAAATTAATTATTGAAATGAGATTGATGGAATATCACTGGAAAGATCAGTTTTAAGTATTACCTCAAAGTGTCAATACGATAAAATCTCTACCACTTCATCATTCATTATTATTAATTTTTACGCGAAAGTGCTAAATCTGACAGTTGTAAATCGCCTCTTAATGTAGCAACCCATCATCGTATGTTGTATTTATAAATGAATATAATTGCTTACTTGCATATGTGCATTTTGTGTGTAATTCTCTTATTCATTCATATTTGACATTCTTTTAAAATATTGTGTTAAGAATTCATGACTGAAGGCACTGAAATTAGTAATTGTCGAAAGCTTTAAAATTAGCTCGAAGCACGCGAATATTTTTTTTACATTTTTTTTGTTACTTATTGCAATGTCACTTGACATGGAATCATAATATGATAATGCCACCGTCTGTACATATATACATAAAAATATTCTTCGATAGTGCTATCATCATATAATGCAAATATAATTCATTCAGTGCATAATAACCACAACTTAAAATATTGAAACACGCTAAGTAGTCACTTTTAAATTTGATTTATTAGATGCAGGCTAATTTCGTTTTTTTTATTATTTACTTATTTTTTCTCTCTCAAAATTGCCATTCATCATAGTTCTAATTATAGGGCAATTATAATCATCACAAAATTACTTTCAAGTACGTCAAACACACACACACACACACTCATACAAAGCTAATGTAGTCCGACATATTGCTGCCGTTACAATGATTATTTGCGTGAGTTATTGGAGGTATATTAATCTTCCTTGTGCTCTACTCATAGTTGATTTTTTTTCTTTGCTCTATTGTACATGCCACAATAAAAAAGTATTATAGTCACAACGATTTTCATAAATTTTATATCAGAAATATTCACAGAATTTATGCATATATATATATTTCTTACGTTTTTATATATTATAAACATTCCTGTAAGAAAATTGGACGCTCTTAAGGATCTGGTAATAAATTCGCTTAATTTCCTTTATACACGCGTTGATACTCTAATTGAACAACGAAATGCGATTTGGTAATAAGAAGAAATTCATAAAAGCGACACAAACTCATCAACCTCAATTGTCGCGCAATCAAAAAGTTTTAGGATAGACATCGTAAATTTTACCTTCTATATATAATATTGACTTAAAGTGTACGGCTATTTGAATAAAAAAAAAGGCAAATAGCAAACGAAAATTTGTTGTGTGATAAGAAACATGACTTTTTATAGTAAAATTATGAAAATTAATTTTATGTTATCGCTGTCGTGCTTGACTTACTCTTTGAAAGCTATTTTGTTTTTTTCACGATTTAGTAACGAAGAAACGATAAACAAAAGCAAGTTTCAACCCTATAACAATCTTCAGTTCTTTTATATATTGCCTCGTCCTCATTAATAGCCTCGCAAAAATCACATTTGTAGAAAAAGGATTCAATATTTTATTTTCACAATGTTGGCACATTTACGTCAAACAGAAGTTAGGCATAAATTTCGTCTTAGATTTTACTTGCTGTCAAAGATTGTATCCATAATGAGATATAATATTCTCTGACCTATATCTTAGAAATAAAATTGATTCCCATTATTTTCATTATTACTCATAATATACTCTGATAAAGCGGCATAAAAAGTACAGAAAAATCTTATAAGTTCGTGTAAAACCTTAATAAACAAGAACATTACTAAGAAAATGTTAATGAAGCGCGTCACTTACAGTAGAACATATAACCAGAAACCTTACGTAAACACACTGTCTTATTTATCCATTTCCATGTCTTGCTCTAATGCTCATGACAACAATAGTATTAATATTTTTTAAATAAATCATAAACATCACAAAATGGATCGAAACGAGTGACTTACTAAAGGTACAACATTGCGAAATATAAAATACTGAGTTTTTCTTTAGCCTTTAGATTTATAAGGTGAAAAAACAACAAGCAGTAACAAAGATTTTTTTTTTATCGAGACGCGAGACCAATATGTTGAAATAAATTATGAGCATAACACAAAATGCACCCACGATGCTTCTAATGAAAATGTCACATAACTCATCTTATTCTTGTTGAGTTTGCCTATCGAGTCGAATAGAAACTTTCAAAGAACTCAACAAGACACAACACAATGAGTATGTACGTGGACAAATGTCTACATAAATGTTGATTTAAGAGTGTGGTTCATTAGAAAGACTGTTGATTAACTTACACAATAAAACTGTTGCAAATATGCGACATGAACATTACCCTTTTTGAATTGAATTTAAAAATGTTTATTATTATTATATTTTTCTACATTCCAAAGATATATACTTCAATCTCCACGTTAACTGCATCCAGTAATAGAGAATAAGAAGGAATTGGAGAATTAAATGAGATTTTTTTTTACACTGGAATTTTAAAGATTTTCAAGCTAGCTCAAATATATCTCTGAAGTTTAAAATCCTTTATTTAAACGTTTGGGAAATTACAAATTAGAATGATTTCTTAGGAAAAGCAACAAATAAAGGGAAATCACGTCCTTCTATTAAAGTAAATTATTATATTGCCGAAGCGCAAAGTAATTTATGTCGGACGAAATGAGAATTTTTTTGAATTTTCATGAGAACATTTGCATGTGCTCTTGATTGAAGTTATAAAAAGCCACCCACGATCGGTAAATGTCTTACTTACTAAAATATTGAGTAGAGTCATTTGAAGCTCATTGAATGAACGGTAATTTATAACTCAGGACTGTCATCATAAGAAAATTGTCATTAATAATTACACATCATTGTTGATGATTAAGTTTAATCAATCGATGTCATAATTGTGGTGATTTCCATCATGAACTATTCTAGTCATGAATATTCAATTGCAACTCAGTCACTTGGTGTGTGTTAATATGAATATTTAATTAGTGACATTATGAATGACTTATGGCCTGACTTATTTATTTGTTTTCCACTTTTACTCTCCTTATTGCCTCTTTTTTTTCGTCATTTTTTGTTCATTTATGCAATTTGCAAATCGTCTCAAATGAAAGAAAAATCAAGTTAAGGCTTGTCGCTCTTTCGTTTACATGAATTAGCTTAATTGGAATAACGAGTTTTGGATTTTTTACACCGGATGAAGTATTTAAATCAAATACTAAATACTGAAACGCTTCTACATCCTATTGAAATAAATATTCTGACATTATCGTATATGATTATTTAAATATTATTCTAAATAAAAATTATTATTGAATTAAGTATCAAGGAAGCAATTTTGCATCATCAGTTATAACACTAAGTTATAGTGCATAGTAGGAAGAGGGACATGGAAGTGCACATGTCTAGTAGATTCATATGAGAACTTTTCCCTTTCAATATCTAGTTATTAAGTTATTTATTTATTTATTCATGCATGCTGAATGTAATATATAAAGCGTGTGCGAAAAAACAAGCATAAAATTGTAAGAATAGTTTGAATCGCAGAAATAATTTTGATTTATTTTTCTTATTTTCTTCTTCTCTATACCGGCATTGCATTTTAATGATAAATAGCATAAAAGCCTTTTAGATGTTGTGTGTTCATGTTTAAAAACACCTATTTTACGTGTCATACCTCTATTGTTCAAAATGAATTTGTAAAATGATTATAAAAAACAACAAGTTCCACCTACGCTGTTTTTAGATGAATTGAGAAGTGTCTCGTAGATCCATAGATCTGTACTATATGAATCGGCAATATTTTTTCATTCATAACTTTGGATGATGATACACAAGTCATGTTATATTGAATACAATGAAATGATATTTTAATTTTATGATAATTTTTATGGATGGAGTTTCATCATTTTTTTTTCTTCATTCAGTTTTCCATTTTTTTGCGCTATTAATTTATAATTGACAAAACAAAATGTTACGACATTGATTCATGTGGTATTTTTAGAAATCGATACGTGAATTATGCATTAAATTTTATTTTTTGCTTAATTTTGTCTGTGTCTAAATGCGTATTAAAATTCATAAAAAATTGTTGCTTGAGTCTAGTTTCTGCAATAAATGATGATGACTTTTAATTAAATTCATTACATGCGAGGGCGTTTGAAACGAATTCTTCTTCATTGTATATTGATGAGTCTTGTCTTAAATTACGAATGAACTTTCAATACAAATAGCAACAAAAAAAAATATGCTTGGCGACGAAGATTAGTAGTGTGAATTTCAAGGACTTTTTTAGACTCAATTATTTATAAAAAATAAATTATTAATTTTATTTTTCATCTTCACTTACAGGTTAGACGTTCATTTAGTAGCAACACATCATTATCCAAAAGACGCATATCATTGTGAGCTTTGTCCTAAGAAATACTGTTATCGTCCTTCATTACTGCGTCATCGTGCTATTATTCACGGTGAATATAGAAAGTATCCTTGTGAAAATTGCTCAAAGGTGAGTTGTACTTGTTATTCTAATAACCTCCGGAATAGTTTATCATGTCATTTTTCTTGCTTGGTAAATTGAAAAATTAACAATAAATCTACATCTAAATTACAAATTGTTAAGAAGATTAGTCCATAAGTTAAAGCATGTGCACTTAATTTAATTCAAGCGACGAGATTTTTATATTAAACAAGTATTTCCTTTCATCTGTAATAATTATTGATTGAACAAAATTGTAATTAATTACCACTAAAATAAATTATAAGTTAGTCACTTCACATTTTACTTATGAAAGTATATATGGTGTCTTTATATTAAAGTAGTGTAAACTAGACCAAGGTATTTATCGTATAAAATGAGTAATCATGTTTAGGCGGAAGATACAGTGATGCAATCTCAAACTAAACCTTGTTTCAATGCACTTAAATGCGGCTGCATAATTGTTTGATTATAAATTCATCGTGCGACATGTGTGAGAAAATTTCTCAGGCTCTTGTTTCTTATTCAGTCTTTTAACACTCGTGATGATCTCGTTTCCATAACACCAATTTAAACATTGTATTTATTTTATATTGAACACTGCCCAATATTTTGCAATCTCCAAAACATTTATTTTCTAAAGGCATGAAAAAAAAAAATCGCGCAACTCGAAAGAAATATTTTGTTTTCGTTATCAGAAGATTAATCATTCAATTATCTCGTAAGTACTTTTTCATACTGAAAAATGAACACTCATAATGAAAATTCCTCGGAGGAAAATAATGTAACTGGCAAAATTCGAGCATAAATTTATAAATATTGAATAAGCATCCAGTCAAAATTTATACCAAGACATCCCCTTTATGCTTTATATGAAAATTATAATTAATTAAAGTGCAATAAATTTTATGGATTTGCCATTGATTGCATATTTTTATGATACACTTAAAAACATGATGATGCCTCACTGCTGTACGTTACATCGAAAATATGCAGACGGTAAATTACATTGCACAGCACATATCGTTCTATTAACGAAATATCTCCTTTAGTATTCAAAAATGTTCTTCCTCTTCTTCATTATTAAGAAATAACAATTAGCTCCATGACTGAGCTACTGTTATAACAAAAGGCGAGTTTTGTTTTTGATTTTCATACACATTCTGTATCACATCGATCAAAAATGCCAGAAATAATCAAAAACTGCTTCCTTAAGTCTATAAAAATAGATTCAATTGGCTGAATTATTTTTTTTTTGAATAGACAAAATCATAGCTGTAAGATTCAAATGTTACTGTATCATGCGGCGCGCACAGTAATGTTACCGTTTTGGTAGAATCAGCAAATTAAAAAACGTGATTGAATAATAATTATGAAAATAAAATATATTAACATTATTCAGGAATTGTCCCTATAAAAGAATATCAAGCAACTAAATTTTATGTCTTTGCTTTTCTACTGGTCTTAACTAGTGAACTAGCCATTGACCACCAATTGATTTTGTATAATACAAAGATACATTACATAGTTTCATGCTAAATGAAATAATAAGAGCGAAAAAATGGCAATAAATAAATGTGAATAAATAAACCTACCTATGTGTCTATTATGTACATGTAGATGCGGAATATAAAAGGATAAATCATGAGTTGTTTTTGAACTGTATAGTCAAACGGGGCGAAGTAAATAATGTTACGGTTTTCAATTTTCAATGATAAAAATTATATTAGACACGAAAGTAAGGGAAAAGCACCATATTACCAATAACTGCTCAATTTTAAATTAAAAGAGAATAAATGCTGTTGCTGCTGTTGTTGTGGCAGTAACTAGTAACTGCTCCGCATTTAATCGTTCATTGAAGTCTTTTATATACACGTATATATATGTGCCAACGTGTGGCCGCAAAATGATGAAATCGTAAATTTTATGCTTTCAATCTAATTCGCGAACCGTGCATTTATTTCATTTTTATTTCTAAAAACAATATTTAGTTCCATATTATTGTATCTATCTATGTTTCTTTGTTTGATTAGGCAGCTTTTTCATCGTCGTTGTTGTCGTCGTCATCGTCCGTTCTCTTTGAAATAATGCGGCAAATAAATGTAACATGGACGTTTTGAACGTATATCTATATAGATTTCAACTTTCTAAACTATTCTTGTTGCTTTGTACTGTTTTCATTTTGCTCTTATGTTTCTGTTAAGAATAATATGTAGAATGAATTGAAAGACAATTACGTAATTATAAGTCATTAATATATTATTTGTATGACATAAAGATATTTACTATTTAGAATTTTTCGCTCACAAATATCGTTCGCGAACAGACAAAAGAAAATGGGAAAGAAAATAGCGCTCAATGAATGGAGGGATAAAGTTAAAACATTACATATTCACATGTTCATAAATATTCAAATAAGTTTTGGATATAATTTTTACATCATCCAACATAAAGTCCACATACTGCGACTATCGTCTACTGGAAGCAATTTCATGCATCCGCATGTCATTCACTCGTCTAGGTGCCTTCTTTTCTCGTGTATTTCTACAATGTATGAAACGAGAAAAAAAATATATAATTGATTTCAAGTTGCAAAATCTTTAATCGTGTGAATATAAGAAATGTTTGTTCTCAATTGAGATGTTAAAATGGAAGTAGAAGTGAAACAAAGCTATTTAAGCGTTGAGCTTATTAATGATGAAAAATTATATTTGTTTTATTTTAACGTTTTAATGATGAAAATTATGATTGAAGGTTGTATTTGCCTTCTTTTAACAGACTTTGAAATTCAATTTTCATTTCAATGAATTTAAGTATGTACGAGAAAGAAATAAAGTTACTTGATGTCCGTTTCACATTAACGTTCATAGATTAATGTCATTTTTATTCAATATATTGTTGCTAAAGATGTTTTATGATCTGCAAATTTAACGATCATACTGATTTGATCTCCGCATTCTCCATAGAATGCATTCATATTAGGCATAAGTAATTTTATGCAGCACGATATAAATTTGTTGTAAAATTAGTTAAAGATTTTATTACGTTTATTTTGCAGTCATTTTAATACATATAAATTATATAATGCGTTTAGACATTGTTAATCACACAATTTGTTTATTTATTGACTGATCTGCGATATACGTTCATAAGGAAAATAGTACAAGTACTCAATACGGGAAGGCAATGTGAGAAGAAAATGAATGTAATAAAAAAAAAAAATTTAAAAAAAATTGTTATATCTTATGAAGCGGGCTAGTCGAGGCTATGCGCATTTGATGCGATGTTGGAGAGACATCACACTGAGTCAATTAATGAAGCTCGATCTCGTTACAAATTCCATCGCATAAACTTTTTGATATTCACCTCCCAATGTGCGTATTACTATGCCTTATATTTCATTTGCTTTTTTTCCCTATAAAAATCATTGCTTGATGCTTTTTCACATGCTTCTTTTGAGCTGCAATCATATATGAAATTTTATCGTTTCGTTTATTTTATTTTGAGATCTTTTTTGAATACACCAAACAAAATTTCAGTTGTCCTAATTTTTCATAGTTTTGCTGCTACTTGTTCCGTCAGAAAGCGATTAATTCCATTGAATTATTTGTTTTGTGAAAGTAAATTAATTTTGGAATCCCTGGTAAGCAGGGTTGATATTTTAGGTATCTGTTTCTAAGTAATGTGAAAAATTCAAAGATTTTGCATGGACTCAGAAAGGGACTTTTTTTAATGTTTGTCATGCAATCTGTCACTTCTTGTTATGTCAAACTCACATTAACCAACCCGGCTAGCAAATTCAATCCTCCTCGATAGTATTTATGAATAATAGTGGACTTTAAAGTTTATCCAGAGACAAATTGAAATCATAATTTTCATATTTAAAAATATTATCCGTGGAAAGAAGATTATGTAATAAAAATCAGCAACATTTTTATTTATGTTCCGTTTCGATATATGTGCGCACGAGATAGTGGTTATAAATATTTTTGCTTTACATTTTGAGACACATAAAAATTAATTGGTTGTAAAATCCAAAGACTGATGATAATCATTTCATTTATTCATTTTTGTTTCATTCCTCCTTTCTGTTCTTTCCATACTAAAAGAGGTAGCAAGATAAAGTAGTGTAAAAGTAAAACGACAATGACGAGCCCAAAAAGTAATACAAAAGAGTTGTATACGTAGTAACAAGTAGCAAAATTTCGAATATATTGAGAAATAATTTAGCGCATATGCGGGTGCAATTAATTTTAAACATTTCATGTGGTATGATATGACCATGATATGATGTCTTATGTTAAATGAAAGGAATTTGACGTTAATCCACATGAAAGTTGTACATTATTAGAGCAAAATGATTGCAGGACAAAACGAAGAAAAAGGTTTCCCCCACTTACAATCCTGCAACCTTATGAAATGTATTCAAATATGATTAATAGTTAGCAAAATAATTATAACCCACAAAGCACCAGTAATAATCACCAGTACATTATTATTTTGGAACAAAACCTTTTATGAGCTAACAACAAGACGTTCGCGACACATATTTTTCCACATTCTTCTTCTTCATCTTCAAAACATTACACATGAGCCTATTTTACATTGTGATTTTTTAATCAAATTAGAAACCATTAAATCGAATGATTGATATTTTTCAATTTGTGCCTGTTTTGTGAATAAAGTTGGTTAACAATGTGAAAGTAAAATGTAGATGATTAAAATTTTTTTGAACACCTCAACAAGTGGAAACTTTTTGATTGAAAATTTATTATTATTAATTCATGATATTTAAGTAATTGATTTTATTTCAATTTCAAATATTTGATTCATATTGTGCAACCTTTTGCATTTATTTCTAAAGTAACTCCGTTGCGGCTTTGGACAATAAAATCAAATTAGTTAAATTTGTTATGTTTGCATCTAATACAAGAAGAGAAAACAAGAAAGAAGAATGAAAGATAAAAAAAATAAAACTTTTAATAACATTGATCATTAATGAATTTCAATTTGACTAATGGAATTTTCATATTCTCTATAATTGATTTTTAGGAATTTACTGATCCATCAAATCTTCAACGACATATTCGGACACATCACGTGGGTGCTCGTAGTCACGCTTGTCCAGAGTGCGGCAAAACTTTTGCAACATCATCGGGATTAAAACAGCACACACATATTCATTCGTCCGTTAAGCCATTTCAGTGCGAGGTTTGTTTCAAAGCCTACACACAATTTTCCAATTTGTGTCGTCATAAACGAATGCATGCGGATTGTCGTATGCAAATAAAGTGTAACAAGTGTGGACAAAGTTTTAGTACAGTCACATCATTATCGAAACATAAAAGATTTTGTGATTCAACAGGAGGAGGTAGTAATCTCGTGGGTAACCAACAATCACCGCAGCAGCACCAAAATTCTCAATCAATTTCATCCAATATGACAACACCTCCAAATCCATTTTTAATGTTTCGCAATTCACCTTTTTTCCCTCCTGGATTGTCACCTTATCCGAGTCTACAGGGAATATTTCCACCTAGTCCGGCACAAGCACCACACTTTCCTTTATTTTTACCAAAGCATAATTTTGAAATACCATGTTTGGATATTGACAGCAATACTCCGACAAAAGTGACACAGTCACAAAATAGTAGCAATAATGGACTAAAAATGTCACCTTCGCAAGCAGATGAAGCAACTACAAACATGAAACCGTCACCAGCTCGCCCCACACCATTGAGTGTACAAAATCTAATTAATAAGCACGACAAAAATATTAATAATAATAGCACGGCTAATAACTTTAATCATTCAAATAACTATGTCAAGCGTGAATCTAACAAATCCACTGACGAAGATAACGAGGCAACATCACCGAGTCGCAAAAATAATTCTGCTCGATCAAAAGACGAACGCATTGGCACCACAGCCAAAAATGGAATGGATAACTTTAACCGCAAGCGTTCTTTTTCAATGATCATGTCGAATGAAATCAAAAGTAACAATCAGAGTGATGCTGACATCAAGGTAAAATCTTTTTCTTATTATAAACAAGTATCTATAATTTTTTTGGCCACTGCTACATTTCAAAATGTTTATTTTTACACTCATTTCGTCAAAAATATGAATATGACACAAAATTTGATTTCATGATCAAACAAATTTTGGAGCAATAGTCAAATTTTAAAATACATCTACTTAAACCTTTCTCTTTGAAAAGTAATTAATAAATTAATCAGATTTCGATCTATGCGAAAAGCAACTGAGTATTTCATCTTGAAAAGGGGTATTCTTTCTATTTCATTTCCCCGAATATATTCGTTTAATTGATTTCACTTATATGTGTTGCTAATACTATTTTGACATGAATTTGAAGTGAAATTTATAGAGCGTAAATTTTAATCTTTTTTTTTTGTTTCTTTTTATTTCCATATTCTTACACACATCTCTAAATAGGATGAAGCAAATGATGAAAGTCAATCGGAACAGCCGCTCGATTTAAGCGTGACTAAAAAGAAAATAAAAAGAAGTTCAAGCCCGTTAGTAAAAGAGACAGCCGATACTTATGATGATCATGAGAACTCATCATCATCGTCAAAAATTGATGTTCAAAGATCCTCCCCAACTCCAGAGCATCAGGCAAGTCCATCACCATCCATTTCACCTCGCTCATCTACATCACCTACACCTACACCATCCTCCCCGGGACCTCAGCCTCATCAAATGGCATATCCAAGACCCATTCATCCATTATTGTTGGATGCTATGTATAGACCCGGTGGTTTGAATCCGTTTCAACGTCCTTTCCCATTTTTAGGACCGAATTTCCGTGCTGGTTTCGACCTTCTTAGCAGAAATGGCGGTAGTTTTCCTGCAAAAACATTCCACGAGGCATTAATGTCAGCAGGTGGCCTCACGCCTTCATCAAATAACACCTCATTATCGATAAGCGGAAATGGCCCGAAAGTAAAAGATCGTTACAGTTGCAAATTTTGTGGTAAAAACTTTCCACGATCAGCAAATCTTACAAGACATCTACGCACTCATACTGGCGAGCAGCCCTATAGCTGTAAATATTGTGAACGATCCTTTAGTATATCAAGCAATTTACAACGTCACGTTCGCAATATTCACAATAAAGAGAGACCATTTAAGTGCTCATTATGTGAACGATGTTTCGGGCAACAAACAAATCTCGACCGACATTTGAAGAAGCATGAAGCTGATGCAGCTGGAATCAGCATTGGTTTAGGTGATTCACCATCATCAAACGAAGCAGAACGTGAGGACTCTTATTTTGATGAAATTCGCTCGTTTATGGGGAAAGTGACCTACTCAGGAAATCCTCATGGGCATATATACACACCATTACCACTGGATGTTACAAATATAGAAGGAGATTTAGATGAAGCAGCCAGTAGTAGTGATAATGATTTAATAAATATTGAACATGAGCATAATGATAAAGATACAATCAACAATAATAATGATCGCATTGAAGTGACAACATGAAAAAGATCCTTCGGAAAAGACAAAACGAAATGTAATCAAAATTTACTGAAAATGTTAAAGAAGTAAACACAAAAAACATATAAATATAATACACTATACATTACGCAACCCTACGAATTAATTTTTGATAAATGACACATTAGTTATTCTCTCGTTTTGATGAAAAGCTATCAGATTAAAGATCAATGATTAATACAATGTGTTCAGAATTAAGTAAAACATATATAAACCAATATAGTTTGTTGTGAAATTCAAGATTGATTTAATATAAATAATAATGATAATATAAAGTAAAGTTTATTCCCAATCATATATATGATATGAGCAAAACAAAATAAAAGCGAATCAAAAGACAAAAAAAAAAGTAATGGACAGCACAACACTTTCATGTTATGTAGTCACTTAATAATGAGAGGACAAGAAGAGGAGAAAAATGCAAGTAGAAATAATTGTCAGATCATAAATTATGAAATAAAAGCGACACAAAAGATAACGCGAAAATAAGAGAAGAAAAACTAGAAAGAAATGCCATTCCGATTTCATCACTGATTGATAATTAAATTTAATGAATTCTCTGATATGTGAGCATGTAAGCATAAGTTTCATGCTTTAGCGAATGACATATTTCAATCCACATATTGATTTAACTCTTAGGCACTGCATTTTTCTTTATAAACTATTCAACTTTTTTCATCTTTCTTTCCTTTGTTTGTTTGTCTCCACAATTTACCGATTTATCTATCGTATTTCTCATTGTACCACGTTATTTGATTGTGCGCGCATTATAACACAGAGAGAAAAGTTCGTTATCGTGATACAAAATCAGTATTGTTTATTCACATAACAATTTTACTCTCAATTTGATTGATCATTGAGCTTCATTTCTCAGACATTACAAATACCCTTTTATAGTGCAAAACTCCGCAAAAGTACTTTGCTGATTGTCTGATGTCACATGGAAGTAACCATTTTAAGACTTGAGATTTTCATTCAATTAAAGTCGAATAATCATTTATGAACAGCGCAAAGGCGCAATTTGAGATGTTATAGTTGTTAGTAAATGCGGCATTAAGTTAACAAAAAGCATATAAAACGAAAAAAAAAAATATGAGAAAAGAAATGATTTAGTTTGGGCAACAAAAACAGTATCGGAGAGACAAAGGTGAGAGAAGTGGCTTATGAAATAAATCCGAGTGAAAAATGAAATGCATTTTACGCGCGAAATACCGATAAAAGATTCATATGAAATGAATCGGTGCTGATTATGGGAAAAATCGATGTGATTTCTTTTAACTAGTACTTCTCGGATATTTTTTTTTTATTTCATTTATCATTTTTGCTACGATATTATGATTTACAATATATTATATTTTCCATAATGGTACAGCGGCATAGCACTTCTTTATTTGGTATTTTAAAGAGAAATTACTACTGTTTCAACATACAAAAAATATGCAATAAAATTCCCAGCATAATGAATGAGTACACATCTAGTTACTTTTCAATGATTTTTCCTTAATTTGCGGTGGAAAATAACAATTATTATAGCTACATAGGAATTATTAAAAAAAATATTCAATAACATTGCAAGACAGACAGTTATTTTATGTGCAGCATAATTAAGCATGAAAAGAATTAAAAAATTAGATTTTGTCAAATTATCAATATAGTTTTTTTCTGTCGCATAAAATAGCGGACCACATCTAGTTATTTCAATCTGAGTTCCAAAAAATGTGTATAAGACACACGAATTTAAATCAATTTTATATTTCATGATAATAATGACACACCTACTTTAAGTATCCTTCTCAAATATCTTCGTTAATAGTTTTAATAAGTTAGAAAATACCAAAAATTGTTTTGTCACTGAACAATTTAGTCAAAATGAAGAAAATGGTTAGATTTAAATGAGGAACAAAAGAAAATCAAATTAATAGAATAAGCATTTGTATAAACTAGTTATTAAAAATACAAAAAAAAATAATTGCAACTTGACATTCTTAAATTGTAAATTAATTAATTTAAAAACTATGAAAAAAAAATTCACAAACCAAAAATTTGTCTTTAATGCGACACAAAAACATTAAGAATATAATCACCATTTATGGATATATGGTTTAAGATAAACAAAAAATAATAGTTTTTAAGGATAGTGCATATTCTGCAAAACGAAACGGTAATTTACTTACAATAAATATTAAAATGAGGAACAGAAGTCAATATTAAGTGTATGACTAAAAAATCTCATAAATTTAATTGAATGATATTCACATTGTAATCATCAGAAAATGCGCTAATATGTTAGTATCTGATTAAACCAACTATATATTTAAAATTGTAATAATATTCTATGTTCCATAGTATTAATAAATGTTTTAGTTTTTAAAAGAATCTTTAATTTTAAGGAATTATAACGATGAGAACTGTTTGATGACACTATTATTACCTAAATGCAGATAGTTTAGATAATTTTACCCAATGGGTGCCGATGGTTCTTATTCTTCGAAAATGGTCCTTATTCTTCGAAATCGAAAATTCGAATTTGAATTTTTTTCAAAAAATGAAATTCCGTTAAAAATATTTCATCAAAAAATTATATTTGTTTACATCAGTAAAATTTTGATTAATTTTCATTAATTATGGGTAAAACCTGCAAAATTGCAAGCTGCAACAAAAATAAAACAATTACAAATCTTTTTAAAGTACCTAAGCACTCATTAAACAAAGATAAATGGTTGTTATTTTTAAAATCAAACAACATAAGTGTCGACGGAAGTGAGATTTCTGCTGTAAGTGATTGTAACACATTCAAGACAAAATTTTCAGATATTGTTCTTAGTCAGGTTGAAATTCCATTTGAGCATTGTTCAAAGACTATTGAAAATTTAATAATATTTTTTGTAACTTTTCGATCAAAACTTGAGCTTCATTGTCGATTGTTACATTCAAAAACCAAATTTGCGTCGAAGAATTGATTTTTGTTCATAAATAAATTTAACGGCCTTTAAAATTTCAAAAATTTTTGTAAAAAATTATTTTTCGAATTTTTTCGAAACAGGTTTGAATTTTAAAAAAAATAACGGTCTGCATTGTTGTAGGCACCCATTGGAATTTTACAAAACTAAATCTGTAGAAAATAATAAGAAAAAAAATTATTTCTTATTTTTTGAACCACATATTTTTTTTGTTATATGAAATTTCCCAGTTTTGCTGATTCAATAAACTCACTATATTAAAAAATGAGCGAAAAAAAAAGAATACCGAGAAACATTTATTAAATTGCACCTCATCTTTTTGATTACAAACCTTTCAGCAATTCAGCCACAGTAATTTTATATTTCTCTTCTTTTCTTCGAGCATCAATCTTGAGTCTTGTGCACCACATTTATCAAAAAAAAAAAAAAATCTTTAGTTATCTCCTCGTAATCTCTTTATCTGAATATTTTAAGGGCAAAAATAATTTTTAATACTTTCTCCGCTGATCGTTCATTGATAAAAAGTTAAACGTTTCAAGGAAAAAAATTGGAAGGTAAGCAATCATCAAAGAGATTTCTTTTTGATGATATAAAAAATTAGTGTAAGCTAATTGCGCTGAATCTTGTGAATATTAAATACTTGTTGATTTATTCATTTTAAATTCTTAATGATATTTCAGCCTCAGCTCCTGACGGAAGATATTTTAATAAAGTGATGCATTTCTGATTGAGAAACATGATTAATATTTTAATTCAAAGGAGTTTTCTTTATTATTATTATTGCCTCTCTGTTTTCTTTTGTGCTCGGTTGTTAAATCAATAAACTACATTGGTTAAAAAGCATTGCGAATCACAAGATTTTCATCATTACCAACTTTCTTGTGGATTTATGTGTTATCTTAATTTCGCTATCATTACTTTGAAGTATGTTGGCAATTTCGGCTTCAAAAAAGAGAAATAAAAGAAATGAGATGAAAGAAGAAAAAAATCACAATCAGTTGTGATCTTATTAAATTGTATCTGTTAACGGAAAGAGATCATTAATTTGTAAAAATGTCTTTGCACAAAAAAAAGCTGAGAGTCGCAATGAAAAATTCTCAAAACGTCTTTTTGGAAGTAAGACTGGAATTTCATGGTTGACATACTAGTGCGTTTTTTTCAGGCACCCCTTTCAATACAATAATGATATATTGGGAATAGCAAATTTGCTGATACTTAAAAAGTCATAAATCGAAGGTAGTGTTCACATCAATATTTTCGATACAAATTTTTTGGTCGAAGCAAATTGCAATATAATTAATGTAGAAAAACCTTGTTGAAAGTTATAATCATAATTTAACATTTTATTCGTTTTTTATTGCATCTCTGTGTCATTGATTAAATGAAAAGAAATTTAATGAAAAGAAACGTGATAACGATGGCAGACTGTGGCTGTATTTCTGTATTTTTCCAGATGAGAAAACAAGAGGATAGTTCTTCATCTCGAATAAGAGCAATCATAAAAAAATATTAAATTATAATTAATTAGCCTGAATACTTGTGTGGCTGGAATTTTTTTTTGTATTTCATTTCATTTCATTTTTCTACTTTTAAGCTCCAATTGAACATGAATAAATGGAGAAGGTTAAAAGAGCAGTACCATTGCTACTGAAAACATGTTCACATTCAATAGGCGACATGCCACAGATTTGACCGAAAATCATATTTTCTATTGTATTATCTTAGATGTATGGTCTCATATAGCGGAATCATATAAATATCTATGCATATATACGAAAAATAAAGATTTTTGAATTCCAGCAGCTATGTTTCACGTCTCTTCGAAACACTCCTTAAATAGAAGACAATTGTTGCATTGGAATGTCAGCATGCTTAAGCCGTAAATATAAAGATATATAATTTGGCGCGCGTCATGTCAATTCTCTGTTACGAATTCCTCATGTCTCTCTATTTTTTAAGCGTATATACTACACCACTACCTATTATTGCCTAGACTCTACTCTCGCATGTGTGTATCACAGATAGATAGATATACACTGAGAAAAGAAGAAAAACCAAATAAATAGATCCAAAAGAAACAGTCAAGGATTGAAGATATATGATTCTCTATGAAAAAGAGTGAGAGAAAAATAGCTTTGAATTTAAGCTATATAAGTTTGAATCAAGATTAATTCAGTACAAGATAAATTCAATTGACCATCCATTTATCAACGACAATAATAAGATCTCTTTCGCTCTTTTATAATTCCATCATACTGAAGGTGCGATTGCTAACTCTTATTTTTAAATAATCAATCTATTTACCTTCTTGCAAACTATCATAGATACTTACCGCAATCAAATTGCAAAAGAAAAAAAAATAGCAATAATTTAATTGATTACACTATTCTTATTGCTGACATTATTACTTCACTCTTGAAAAGCGAGTAAGAAAATGACTCAATTCCGAAAGTTTGAAAAGACCTTGAGATACATTTTATCAGAAACTTAATCACAAAACCGCATATTCATTATGAATATGCCTTCCTTCCAAATATTTCTAATTTGTGGTACATACGAACGAATACAGACCGGATTGTTGAGATACATAAAAGTAGATTATCGGCAAGGACTGATGTGTAATATAAACGTAGCGTTCAAAAAAAATATTTATATATTCCCTGGTGGGATTTCAAGCTACTTCTATTTTTGAAAAAGAGGAACTCCGATTTTTTTGTCGGTTGCTTAAACCGTCATGCAACTTGAGTTGTTTTCGCTACCGATCAAATATTTATTCATGCTTCAACGTTCTCATATAAATATAATTTATTTAAATAAATCTAGGAAATAAATCCACGGACAATGAGCCAAACCAAAGAAATTCATAGCATACCAACCTTCAAAATATGCTGGTGAATATTTCAGCTGCAAAAAATAAAAAGAAATTTTTTTTTGTAATTACAATTCACACCTCTCTTACGATCATGCGCTTATGAGTTTCAATTACAATCTATTTTCTCGTTCTGAAGCAGAAATAATATAAAATTGCTTTTATGAAAATCATAGTTTATGAAGCTAATGAGATGCTAGTGCAGAGTTTTTAAAATTAAGATTTTATAATTACGTACATGGTATGGGTAAATAAATTTATGGTGTTAATGGAAGTCTTGTTTCATGCTTTGATTAAAAAGCGTCTTGCTATATACTTATTGGAATTTTTGTAGTTTTAATAACAAAAAAAAAGATCTGAGTAGTATGAAATTATTTCAACAAAATCCTAGACCCGATCGATATCTTAATTAGCAATGCTTAAATGCTGAAATAATCAGGCTATTATCTCGTTATAATGACGCATCATATTTTAATGAGTTTAAGTTATTTAGTTCAAATTTTTTGAATGTTTACAATCCATAAAAGTCAAGTTGCTCATTAATACAATGTAGATAATTTTATTTGATTAACAACTTGCATAAAAGTTGATGTTACACTCGAATCTGAGACATATGAAAGGGGTTTGAGGTAGGCTCTTCTCTTCAAAAATTTTTAAAGATTGCTAGCAAAAAAAGGCTTTAAGCAAGCTACAAGTTTTCCGTCCATTCCAAAAAATTGTACATCTTACTACAGTGATCTGTATCAACAAACTCTGATATTCTTTACATTCAGGTTAATTAAAGCACCTTAGAGTACATTAAAAAATTTCTTTCACCAAATTATGTAAGAGGATATCATGTATATAAATTTTATTTATTCCTTTGCTGCTCATCTTAACAGGTAATTTCATTTAATCCGAAAAATTAAAACTAGTAATGAAGCCGATCACGCTTCATGGGAATATTCACACAATCCTATAGAACTCTCTATGTATTGTTCAGAAAATCTTGAAAAATCTTCTCTCAATAAAATGTAAGACTTAATATCAACATTTTGCTGTATTATCAACAAAGTATACCACACATTAAAAACACGTTTTACAACGAAAATCATGATTCTAGTGTCGCAAAAAAATAACAATTTTTAAAATTATAAATATCAGAGATCGAAGCCGATTATTTCGGCTTAACTCAATTTTTGATTTTTTTGATAGAAAAAAGCCATTTGACACCCATTTCAAGTATTTAAATTGAACTTTACATGCTTTACTATGATTCTGTGTAATATTTTGTCAGCATGTAGCTATAGTGAGCTCAGAATTTCAATTTAGAAGATTTTAAGCCGATCGGCTTAAATTTCGGCTTAACATTCTTTAACTTGAAATTCTGAGCTTACTATAGCTACATGCTGACAAAATATTACACAGAATCATAGTAAAGCATGTAAAGTTCAATTTAAATACTTGAAATGGGTGTCAAATGGCTTTTTTCTATCAAAAAAATCAAAAATTGAGTTAAGCCGAAAAAATCGGCTTCGATCTCTGATAAATATGAAAAATATGACTTATGTAGAAAGCCATTGACTTTCACACTTAGTAAACGATAGATTATGAAATTGAAAAATCACTCAAAATTTGATGCTATCAGATAGTTTTTTATGTAGATCCGATTTCAATATAGCTTACAGTCTTGGATAATTTTGCAACTTCCGCTTCGCTCCAGTTGCTGCTCCGAAGTCAGTCTCTTATGAAGATTAGACTTCAACATAGGTTACAGTCTTGGATAGTTTTGCAACTTGTGTGCTATGGAAATCTGAGATTTTTTTACTCATAAGTATTATAAGGATTTTTAAAATGGGTAAAATTTACACGCCTTCACTTCGCTACGCTAAAGTTTTTATCATGTCTGAAGCTTGAAAACAATATTCAGTAAAGTTTTAAGCATGTCTGAAACTTGGAACCAAGATCCAGTAAAGTTTTAATCATGTCTGCAACAAATTATCATTTTAAATATTTTTGAAACTTGGAGCCAAGATCCAGTAAAGGTTTAATCATGTCTGAAACTTAGAACTAAGATCCAGTAAAGTTTTAATCATGTCTGAAGCTTGAAAACAAGATCCAGTAAAGTTTCAATCTTGTCTGCACCAAATTACCAAGATCCAGTAAAGTTTTAATCATGTCTGAAGCTTGAAAACAAGATCTAGTAAAGTTTCAATCTTGTCTGTACCAAATTACCAAGATCCAGTAAAGTTTTAATCATGTCTGAAACTTAAAACCAAGATCCAGTAAAGTTTTAATCATGTCTGAAACTTAAAACCAAGATCCAGTTAAGTTTTTATCATGTCTGAAGCTTAAAAACAAGATCCAGTGAAGTTTCAATCTTGTCTGCACCAAATTACCAAGATCCAGTAAAGTTTAAAGAATGTCTGAAACTTAAAACCGAGATAAAGTAAAGTTTTAATTATGTCTGCACCAAATTACCAAGATCCAGTAAAGTTTAAAGAATGTCTGAAACTTAAAACCGAGATCAAGTAAAGTTTTTGTCATGTATGAAATTTGGAATATAGATCCAGTAAAGGTTTAATCATATCTGAAACAATAAACCAAGATCCAGTTACGTTTTAATCATGTATGAAGCTTGAAAACAAGATCCAGTAAAGGTTTAATCATATCTGAAACAATAAACCAAGATCCAGTAAAGTTTTAATCATGTATGAAGCTTGAAAACAAGATCCAGTAAAGGTTTAATCATATCTGAAACAATAAACCAAGATCCAGTAAAGTTTAAATCATGTCTGAAACTTGAAACCATGGTCCAGTAAAATTTGAGAAAAAGTTCTAAGTGGGCTTTGACAATTTCAATTTCAATTTTTTTTATAATTAAGAAATAAGAAAAAGTTCTTAGTGAACTTTGAAATTTTGTTGAAAGTGAAAGATCATTGTGAAAAATTGGTTAAATAATTTAATTTGTCCACTAAAAGTGAAATTGAAATTGTGCTATCGTTGGAACCAAGATCCAGTAAGTATACAGCAAGAAAAAAATCAATGCTGGAACCAAAAACATATTTCATTTATGATACAAGTAAAGTATATATTCAATAACATAGATCCAGTAAGCTGAATCTTATGAAGGAACTCGCTAGTTCCAACATTTTTTCACATACATTTAACTTAATGCATACTGTCACAACCATTTTATTAATATCAAACTACTACCAACAAATATTTCTGTTGTAAACAAAAAAAAATATGTTATGTAATAATCGGTTAAACCTTTTCCATACAAAAATGTTTATCCATCTTGTGCCTCACTAGAAGCATCTTATGACTCCAAAAACAATACAGTTCTTGCGATAGCATTATCTATCAGAAGCAAAAAACCGGAAGTCTTAATATTGAGTTTCAATCGAGTTATCGCACCGATTAACAAACAGAATGCCTTTTTTTGCGATTTCTCGGAACTGGAATTGAAAATTTTGTGTGAATATGATAAATTCATTAATTCTGTTTATTTCAGAAACAGCAGCAGTGGTAACAGCATCACTCGTGCTATAAAAATATGCAATACGACATGGGCTAAAACATAACCAGAATGTTTCGAAAGTAAATGAGATTTCATGAAAGCAATTAAAGCTGTCTCGTGAATGAGGGAAAAAATTTGTGTATGGTGAGCCACTTATTTAATAATGAATCGAATGTGATACTGTTTCAATAAATCGGGTGATCTTCACACGACACTCTCTCGATTCTTGCCCTGCAAAAAAGAAGTAATTTTATTAATAATGATCGCCATTAAAAGCGGTGTAAGGATCTTTATGGTGAAATAATTTCAATTTTTCATTTATGAATATCCCAAAGGCAATATTGAATGGATTCTGAGAGAAATTAATTTTATTACTCGGAATTTATTTAGACCTGCTTTAAATTCCTATTATCAATCATGAGATGGTGCAAAATTAAATCTGTATGGAGGCTATTATCGAAATTTCAGAAAGGAAAAGTGAAAATTTTGGCGATTTTGACATGTTTTGTAATGGACTGATGTTGCACATTTAAAAAATGACATCCGATGCCTTTCTATAAGTTTAATCGCATATCAAGTTAAAAAAAGACGTAATAATGAATGTTTCCAGACTACAGGCTAAAATCAGGCTCTCCTTATCATACCAGAAATTACTTGATGGAATGTCTCAATTTTGTGCAATGTAGTACTATTATTGATGAAAATATTTGGAGCAGACAAGTTAAGAGCACATCATTATTACAGCAATGCTCTCACGAAAACGAACTGTTTATCATCCATAGCAAAAATTGATGTTATTAAATATAAAAAAATATTACCTGACATAAAAGGTAAATGTAGGTTTTTACGTGGAGAAAGAAAAACTATTTAAAAATTGACTGAATTTTTGTTATAATTGAAATCATTATGTATAAAGACAGATAGATGCAATCAGATCTTTGCTAATGTGTAAAATTTGTACATGTGTCAAAACTTGTTTTGATGACTTGATAATCACCAAAAGATTTTTCATTTAATGTCTTTTTGGCAAGCTAGAATTGGATGATAAGTGCGTCATTTGATTATTAATGAGCCTTCGATCAGTTGTCAAGACACGGTGATGAATTTTAATTTCGACGAGCTTAAAGTTTTTTATTCAATAAAGCGTTTGTGCTTTATCGAGTTATATGAGAGAATTTTTGTCTCATCGGTTAGCATATAATCAAAATTAATTAACAAATTTGAACATACAAAGAGCATGCTCAGAAAAGTGAGCATATAAGTGAGTCTACTCAAAAATTATACTCATGCAAGCTCATTCTACTGAGCATGCTCAGGAGTTCATTACGAATGTACTCACTTTATTTTTTTGCAAAAAATTTATAAGCTCACGTGAGTACATTCAACGAGTGTACTCATGAGAATATTAAGAACATACTTATGTGAATATACTCGTATGAGTGTACTTATGAGAATATTAAGAACATACACACTTCTGTGTGACATAATTTTTTTACGTTCTCATATGAGTGCACTTACTGAACATGCTTATGGGAATATTAAGAACATACTCATGGGTATTTACTCTTCTGAATACACTTCTTAAACATACTCATGAGCATATAATGAACATAATTATATCTATATGACATTTTCAAAAACGTCGACCAACTTAAAATCGAACATCGAATTTTCAAAAATGTTGACCAACTTAAAATCGAACTTAGAATACATTTTTATGATAGTCGACATTTTCAAAATTGTCAACCAACTTAAAAGCAAATGTTGAATATTTTAGATATGTAATACCAAAATATACGAAACTTTTTACAATTTTAAGTTTTCTGAAATAAATGTCAAGAGTTTCTCAAGTTCTCAAGTTTTACTTTGCTTTTAAAAAACTATAAGAATTAAGCACGATCAAAATCTTTTGGCTTTAATGGAACTAATATTTGAATTCATAAAATAATTTCAAAAAATGTCGACCTGCATAAAAATGTATTCTAAGTTTAATTTTAATTTGGTCGACATTTTTCAAAAAATGTCGACTTGCATAAAAATGTATTCTTTGTTCGATTTTAAGTTGGTCGACGTTTTTGAAAGTTTCGACTAATATAAAAATGTATTCAATGTTCGATTTTAAGCTGGTCGACATTTTCGAAAATGTCGACTTACATAAAAATGTGTTCTCAGTTTAATTTTAAGTTGGTCGACATTTTTCATAATTTGTTCTCACGATCGTGCTCTGATCAACTCAAATATTTCATAAAAATATAGTTCAATTAAGCAGTGTATCAAACTTCAAAGAACTTACTTTGCCTGCAATAATATAATAATTTAAGTATGTGTTTTGCCATTTAAAAATTATTATATATTTACAGAAAATTGCTCCAAGGAAAAGTGTGAGGTGACAGAGGTTAAGCAACGCAATAGATTTTTCTACAAGGATGTGGTGACAGGTTTTTAAAACTTCCTTCTTAAGTATTTGAGATAAAATATTAATAATAATTTCTAGCTCTTCCAAAATTATTCACAGAATCCTTATAAAACTCAAATTTAACTTAATTAATTTTTTTGAATTTTGTTAAGCTCTTTGAGTATGTGTATGAGTATATGCTCTTTGAGAATGTTCATAAGTATATTCAATAAAAAATGTTGCATTAAAAAAATGTTGCGTGTGGTATGTTGTCTTCTCATTTGAGTATGCTTATGAGTTTAGGAATGTGCTCACTGAGCATACTCAAAAAGGTACCGTGATCGCATCACTTTAATGTATGAAATGAGCACATTCTCACAAAAGTTTGCAAGCTCACAAATGATGTGCTCTGAGTATACTCATTGTATGTTCGGGAAACCTTAATAAATAGCATATAAATCGTTGATTACTTCAAGTTTTTGAACTCTAATGAATAACGTTTTTTAAGAATTCAAATTTTCTAACGGTTGAAAAAGTTTGAAATATTCGCGCCATTAGTTAAAACCGTTAAAACCAAAAAAATACAAAAAAGCGTGAAAAATAATTAATTTTGTTAAAATGACAAGCGTAAAGGATTTTAGGGTATTTTTAAGATCATTAATTAATAGCAGCCGTCGAAAAACAGGAAATGCTTCAGAAGTAACAGTGAACGATATTAAAAAGGATTTACTTTTTCATGAAAATATTAATGTTGACAAATTTGTGGATGAAAATGGTAAGTTTTACTGAAATTAATCATTATTTCTCTAGATTTTGACTTATTTTCAGGCCATCGAGATCTATTGGATTTAATAGACGAATGGGAAGAATTTACTATACATTATGGAAAGAATGAACCTACTATTCGAGTTAAATGCGGAGATCATATTTCAGAAATGAATAAATTTTCAAAGTAAGTTCACAAAAAAACAAATCATGAAGCTGTATACCTAAATTGATTAAATTCTAGACTAAAGCGTGGATCAATTAATACAAAAGCTAAAGAAATAATTTCTTCAAAACGTCTAGAAGTATTTTTTGGACCTGATCATTATGATCTGTCGCCAAAATCTTCGATCGAGTAAGTCTTTCATTAAAGTAGCTTTATCTTTGTTAATATTAATCTTTAAAATTTAATAAAGTAGTTTATTCAATGAACACAATTCACATGAATCTCAGTCCAGTAAAGAATTGGCTCCGTTAAACTTGGACGATGATAGTGATGAATTTCAGTACCTAAACATGATATCAAACTCAAATTCAAAGAAATCGACAAATAAATCTGAAGAAATGAGGCAGAAAGACCCAATTAGTCAAGAGACATTGACAAACGAGAGTAAGGAAGTTCCAAACAACAGAAACGATGAAATGTTAACAAAATTGGAACCTCTTCAACCATTGATTCCAACTACTTCTAAAGCAGTTAGTATTAATCCAGTCACTCCTTCACAAGTTCTCTTAACATTAAGACAAAAGTTAAATATCAAAAATATTAACAGTCCAAAAATGCCATTTAAGCTCGTAAAGACAATTGATCATATGATTCCATCATGTAAAGCACTGGATACGAAGACAGGAAATATCATAAAGATTGCTATACTGGATGTTGTTAATCCTCATCGATTTTGGTTTGCAGAATACAATGAGTACAAAGCATTACTTGAACTCATGAAGAATATGAAGGAATTTTATACAGCCAATCAAGATTCACTTCGCATTAATGTTCAGGATTTACAACGAGGACTTTATGTAGCAGCGTTATTTGATGGAATTTGGCATCGTGGAATGATTGTCAAGAAAGATGAAAATTTTGCAAGAATTTCTTATGTTGATTTTGGTACTGCCGATGACATAAGACATATTGATTTGTGTTATTTGAAACAAGACTTTTTGAATTTGCCATCCGTTGCTCGTCGCGGTGTACTAGCCTTTGTTCAGCCAAAGCTGAAATTTGAGTGGAGTGAAGGAGCTAGAAGTTTCTTTCAAAACTCAATCAAAAATAAGAAAATTGAAATCAAAATATTCAAGCACAATTCTCAAGACAATTCATACTTTCTGGGAATTAAATATAAGAACGAACAGAAAATCGTGGAACTTTTGACAAACTCGATGATTTCAAATAACTATGCTCAACAAGACTTGACTTTTTTAGATAACGAAACTTTCAGCAAAGACAGCTACGGATTTCAGGAATACGAAGAGGGAATATTGCTGGATATAAAGTCTCAAATTCCAAGTATAATTGAACCTTTCGACAGTTGGATGCCATTTGATAGCTCTAAAACATCTATTCAAGTAATAAAGGATATTAATCCATCAACGCCAAATACACCCAGCACAAACAATTCCAAAAGAAAACGATCAACCAATAAAGCATTTAACACGCCAGTTAAGGTTGATCGATCTGTAAATGCATTAATTCCAAACATTCAAGAAGTCAAACGAAATTTAACAGGTGATTTTGACAACGTCGCAGAGCAAGCAGAAAAGAAAGCTGAAACTACAAAAGATGTTATAGAAGTTCGTCAGCAATTTTCTCAGACAATCGTTCAAGATAATCGAAATTTACCCGAAACAAATGTGTCTAGTTCTTTGTTTATTCCCAAGAATATTATTAAGGAATGTCATAGTATTATTTTTAAACAAAGCTTTGAGAAATTAACGATTGGCAAACAAATTGAGATCCTCATTCATGCTTTTTATGATGCTAGTTGCTTCTTTTTTTACATCAAGAATGAGATGCCAGTAATCAAGAAGTTTTTGGATGATGTGAAGTAAGTTTTAACGATGACAATTTAATTTTAAATCTTTCAAAAGCAATTTTAAATTAATTTGAACAATGTTTTAGTGCAAGTTGCAAAAAATGCTTAAAAGATGAAGAGTTAGTTCTCAATAAAGAAGTTGCTATCTTCAGTGATAATAAATATGTTCGAGGTCTTATAAGTTCAAAAATAGAAAACGCTTATCAGGTAATGAAAACAAATACAATTGTTAATATTTTTATTTTAGTTTAATAATTTTTTTGAGGTGTTTTTGATCGATTTCGGAGTATTCATTCAAAGGAATACTGGGGAAATCTATGGACTTCAAAAGGAATACATCAAACGAAAGCCGTGCATATATAAGGGATGTACATCGGATGCTTTTATAATCAAAGACTTAGCTCAGACCTTCAATGTGGCTAAAATTTTAGGTATTCGTGGTGAAAATACAGTCGATTTAACGATCAAATCGTTATCAATCTGATTTTATTCAAAAAGACAGTTAAGTATAACCAATCGAAAATACCAGTCTCAAAAAATTAAATTTTCAAAAATATTTTGAAGAGTTATCAAAATTTCCACAAATCAATGGAAAGTCATCAACAAAGCTAATCATAAAGAGACAAAATAAAATAGTCAGAAAATATAGGTTAAAAAATTACAAAAGTCCTCGTGTTATTGATCGAGGGACTTCAGCGCATTTTCGACGCAGCGATCAGTATTTGATTATCTATTTATTTTGCGTTCGTTTACAGATCATTAGAAGTTTAGAAGATCATTCATTTTAGTGCTTATATAGAAAGGCTTTATTATTTAATGGTCAATAAATAATTTTCCGTTAAAAGTTGCACTACAAAAACAATAACTATAGTTTAATTAATAATCTGTAGCAATGTATTTCCATACAGCAAGGGTTTTTCATTAAACGTTTTTTTGGAATTCAAAGTTTTTAACGGTCAGTAAATAATTTGAAATTTTCCCGCTAAAAGTTGCACCACAAAAAAATTAATTATAGTATAATGATGGGGGGTAAAATCCCCGAAAGATATTAATTCCACGATCCTGCGGTATAATAACCCTGAAAATCGCAAATTTTTAAATGTTTCCTGCGGGATATATTCCCACTTAGAAATACACGTGGAATTATTATCCTTCCGGGAAGATAATAATCCCACCTATAATTACACGTGGGATTATTATCTCCCAGGTAGATAATAATTTCACTTACATTTCGAAGCGGGATTATTATCTTTATAGAACACGATTAAAATTATGGATTAAATTAAATCCAAAAACTTATTTGTCATAGTGGATAATAATTCCACTTGGATTAATAAGTGGATTTATTATCTAATAAGATTTTCATCCCAAAAAATCCCACTTATTAATTTGTCAATTTCATTATTCCAAAAACTTAAATAAGAAGAAAACATAAATATTGGTTGAATGTTTGCTTTTTAAAAGTATATTATTCCAAATTGTTTAAAAAATAAAATCAAGGTGGGTTCAAGTGGGTTCAACTGATCTAAAGATGTTAGCTATTCCATATAAAATTATGTTCGAGATTCACTCGAATGTTTAAAGAAAATGTAGCTGTAATTACATTTTGTTTCGCTTCATTCATTCGACTATTATAAATCACAGTTTTGTTCAAATGTTTAAGAGTAGATATGTTATTTGAAATTCGGAGTCGAATCATCTATTTCAGCCTTAACAACAATCAAAAACTCTTAAATGTAATAGCGTATTTAAATGAATTAAGTATTTACGAGAAAATATAACCTCACTAGACCTCAATCTAAAAATCCCTAAAATGCAGCTACCCTAAAATGCAGATAGTACTGCCAAGATGCAGATAGTGCTGCTAAAGTGCAGATGAAATTTATTTTCCCTAAAATGCAGATGAAATGCTGTTGCTTTAAAAAAGGTATAACGCAGATAATTTTTATCGTATAAAGTGCAGATAAGATGCTGCCTAAATGTAGATCGTATAATTTCATTAAAATACATCAATATTCGATGACTTTTTTTCTTGATGCGTGTTAATGACTTTAAATGATCCATGATGAAATTTAAGGGTAATTATTTTGTCTGACGACATATTTATGTATATATTGGGTCGAGTATCCTTTTTATGAGCTCATCTATCAGATGTATCTAGATGTTTCTTGCAAAAATGTTAGATGTTGTTTAACAACAAAACTAGTGTATCGGGTAGAAACTCAATGCGGATATATTCGCACCGTACCATCAAACGTCTTATGAATCGACAGAGATTTGTTCAGCATAAGTTTGAAGGTATAAATCCTGACGAACCAGCTTTATATCTTCAAACATATGCTGAGCGAAGCTTCGCTTCTTCTTCTTCACAAAATGCAAAAAACTGATTTTTCAATCTGAACAAAACCAACAGATTCACACGTGAAAACGGTGTGAATTTAAAAAATACATTTGCAGATATATCAAAGTCATAACAAAATTTATAAAAATTATTCGTGAGTGACGCTTAATTAATGTGATTTTCCGACATAACTCCTTAACTTTAGAAAATGAGTTCTATGTCAAAAGAAATCGATTTTTGTTTTCTACAAGATAAAATAACTTTGAAATTTGTCACTATTGTGGTTTCGGAGATATTAAAGAAATCATAGCGTCGCTCACGAATAATTTTTTTTCGTCGGGCCCAAATAATTAATATCCTTCGTTAAATTATCTGCATTATAACAGCATTTCATATTTATTTTATTAAAACTATACGATCTACATTTAAGCAGCATCTTATCTGCACTTTATACGATAAAAATTATCTGCATTATACCTTTTTTAAAGCAATAGCATTTCAACTGCATTTTAGGGAAAATAAATTTCATCTGCACTTTAGCAGCACCATCTGCATCTTGGCAGTACTATCTGCATATTAGGGTAGCTGCATTTTAGGGATTTCTAGATTGAGGTTCGAATATTGATGTATTTTAATAAAATTATACGATCTACATTTAGGCAGCATCTTATCTGCACTTTATACGATGAAAATCATCTGTATTATACCTTTTTTAAAGCAACAGCATTTCATCTGCACTTTAGCAGTACCATCTGCATCTTGGCAGTACTATCTGCATTTTAGGGATTTTTAGATTGAGGTCCTCACTAGCTATGTTACGACTAAAATTTCTAGAAAAGAAAACTTGTAAGTAATAAAATGAAAAATTAAAGGGCTTGGTCGTTTGTCGAATAAGTGTAAGAAATCGAAAAGTTTTCACTTTTTTCTCATTTCCTGGACATTTATATTTGTAAATAATCAGTAAGTATCATAGAGTTTTCAAAAACGCGTTATTTGACATGAATTTCATAACATAAGGAACTTTAATTAAGTCAAAAAACAGAAAAAACAACCGATTTCTGACACTGAAAAAAAGTTCCATTATTTTGAATTTTTACAAAAAATACTAATAACTTTGCGAAAACAAACTACAAAAATCATACTCAATTGTTGGATTTTCAATTCTTTATAACCCTTTGCTATTAAAATCTTCAAAAAGATTGTTTAAATTAGTTAAATTAATGATTTTTCTGAAAAACTTTTTTCATAACGGTCAAAATTTGAATTATTCCATTCGTTTGTTTACATCACAAAAAAATATGCGAATTAAAAAAATCGTTTGAAACTCATTAATTACACATATTTGAAAGCTGAAAAATTAGGAACAGATCAAGAAAAATTTATTGGATGCATTACAATGCTCAAAAGAAAACATTGATATTAATTTAAACGATATTTTGCAAAGTAATTTTTCGTTTAATTGAAGGGGAAAGTAACAAAAATTGAATTTCAAAAAAACCGTTGAAATTCAATGGAACTTTTTATTCGACCGAGCTCTAAAGGTTTTTTATGGAGTTTGAAATAGTTTAAATACTTTTCAAACTGCTTTTTCCTTTTATACGTAAGAAAACAAGAGAAAAGTAAAGGTCCTTTAATTATTAATACGGACCATAATAATAATAATCATCCTTTTCAGTCGAAATGGACATGAAATTGGTGTTAGCCTGTTCATATAAACAGACAATTTTTTTTTGTTGAAAAATCTCGATAAACATTTTTAAATTTCTCAGTCTAAGAAAAATAGGTTATTTATCATAGTTCCATAATCCAAAGTCAATGAGTTATGTTTAAAAAAAATGTTCATTAATTTCATATTACTGTGAAGGATAAATAAGCTAGAACTTTCGGAGATAATAACAACAATTAATTCTTTAGAAACGATCTATTAAAATGTTGAAAATCCAACCAAATTAAGTGAAAAATTAAAAATATATGTTTTAAAATTTTGTATTTTTTCACGAATTAGGACAACAAAAAGCTTTTTAATAACTCGATGACACATGATATTTTTTAAAAGAATTGAAATATTTCATTATTTGATGACTTAAAGCATACAGAAAAACTACTTAATTGTAGATTTTTGTCTGTTTTACAACTCAACAGTTGTTATTTAATACTAATTTCAACAGTTTTCTTTAATTTTCAATCCTTCGAATGATGAAAATGGAAAATTTTCTAAAAGTCATTCAAAGAATTGTAAATTGCCATTAACAAAATTAGATTTTTAAATCTAATCATAATATTTGTTTACTATTTATCATAATATTTATATTTTGCTAAGAAAAATGTAAAGATTTAAACATAAAAAGGACGCAAAATTAAAATTCTGTTGCTCAAATTCTTATTAAATTAACCCAAGAAGGTTTCCAATGGTTTTAGACCATTTAAGACCATTTGATTGTTTATGGGCCCCGGCGAAAAAAAATTATTCGTGAGTGATGTTTTAAAATCTTAAATATCTCCGAAACCACAAAAGTGACAAATTTTAAAGTTAATTTATCCTGTAGGAAAAAACAATCCCCATCTTTTGATATACAACTCACTTAATAAAATTAAGCTGTTGCTTCAGAAAATCGCTTTAAATAAGCGTCACTCACGAATAATTTTTGGGAATTTTGCCATAACTTTGTCAGTTTTCATTGATATGTCTTCAAATGTATTTTTTTAGATCAGAAATTTTATTCTCTTTTGTTTGGCTCCAAAAAAAGGATAAAATGGCCCCGAAACATACTTATATGAACAAAATTAAGTTAAAAAAATTTAACGGTTTTAAATTTTTTGAGTTTTTTCTGTCGTGAATTGTTTGTTTACAAACAAATATTGAAATAAAATTTAAAAAGTCATGAAATAATCACTCAATAATGATGTTAAAGCTCTTAAAATCGGCAGAATAGCTAATGTTTCATTTACTTTTTGTAATCATCTAATATATAAAAGCCCAACTCACTGATTCACTGACTCTGGAACGGAAGCTATGTGAAGACGTTTGTGAAGCCGTGTGAAGACAAAAATTTAATGAGTGTTGACAAGGTGGTTGTCAGGTGGGTGTGGGTGTCAGGTGAGGGGTGGGTGTCAGGTATATTTTGTGAAGCCAATGATTTGAGGGGGGGTGGGCAAAGTTGGTGTCAGGCGGGGATGGGGGCAAGGTGGGTGTCAGGTATTTTTGTGAAGCCGTGTGAAGCCAATGATTTGAGGGGTGCTGACAAGGTGAGTGTCAGTTTGGGGGGGGGGGGGGGGGGGGGTGTTGACAAGGTGGGTGTCAGTGGGTCCGAATTTGAGGAGGTTTGTGACGCCGTGTAGTGCTGAAAAGTTTGGTGTCAGGAATATTTTGTGAAGCCATATAAAATTTTGTGAAGCCATGTGAAGTTTTGTGAAGCCATTTGTAAAATTTTTGTGGAATTAAGGGGATCCGAGTTTGAGGGGGTTTGTGAAGCCATGTGAAGTTTTGTGAAGCCATTTATAAAGTTTTTGTGGG